AGCATTGATGTCGGCACCTCTGCCCAATAGCATCCTCATCAATTTCCATCGTGAATGATTCATGCGGACCCAGCTCTTATTCCCTGATAAAAGCCTCATATCTGCCCCAACATCAAGCAGTAATTGCATGGCGCTCTTCGCTTCGTCGTAGTCAGGCAGATCAAGTGCTAGCATGATCGCATAATGGCCCCGGGAAGACGGCTTGTTCACATTAGCGCCATGTTTGAGTAGGAGTTGAACGATTGAGAATGAAAAATTCCACGGATCCCGAATTGCCGCGACTAAAGGAGGCTCGACGTTGGAAGACCAATCAAAGGACGAGGATCTGTTAGGGTCGGCGCCGGCAATCAAAAGAATGGAGACCATTTCCAACTCTTTTTTAGCCACCGCAATTCCCAACGGCGTGTACCGAACCCCAGGAGGGTCGGGGTCAGCGTCGTACTTCATCAACAGCTCAAAGAGTTCATGGCTCTGCCTTGAGATCGCAAGACATAGAGGGGTACGTTCATCCCCGACTTGGTTGACAAATGCGCCAGCCTCGAGAAGCATTTCCGTCACTCCAACATGACCTCGACTGACCGCGGCTGATAACGCGGCTTCACCTCTATCCGATGCTGGAGCGTTTGTCTCGGCGCCATGCTCAAGGAGCATTCTCGCGATGTTTTTGTTCCCTGAACTGGCTGCAGCTTGGAGACATGTAAAGCCCAAGGACGCAGCAGGTTTGGCATTGACATGCCCGCCCTCTTTGATAAGGGCCTGAAAGAGGCCTTGGTTCCCCGATCTGGCCGCGGCTTGTAACGCCGTTATCCCTCCATGATCACAGGGAGGGGCATTGACATTGGCACCTTTGTCCAAAAGAAATTGAACTAGGGCCATGTCTTCTTGCTCGGCGGCTGCCTGGAGAGCGGTTCTCCCAAACCAAACCCCAGCCGCCCCATTCACGTCTGCTCCCCGACTCAGGAGCAGCCGCGCCATTTCTAGCCGATCGAGGTGGTGCGAGTCGCACACCGCCTGTAATGCAGTTGAGCCCAAACAATCCCCCTCGATATTAGCACCTGCGTTCAGCAAGATTTCGGCCGTTTCAAAATGCCCGAATCTTAAGGCTTGTTCAAGTGCTGTCCCAGGTGGCAAAGACAGCAATCCATCAATGTCATTTTCCATGTGCTCCTCAATCATCTCGATTGATGTGAACCATGTGCCATCGATATCGGCCCCCTCTTGAAGCAATCGTTGGACTATTTCATTTGTGCCATGCCTAGCCGCTGCTTGAAGTGGGGATTCGGGGACGATGTAGCCTTCGGTCGTTTCGTAGAACTCGCGATAGCCCTCTCCGAAAGGAATGTTGACATCCGCCCCAGCCTGAAGCAAGATCTCGACCATTTCTAGGCGTCCCTTTTCAACTGCCACGTGGAGCGCTGATGTTAGAGTATCGGCTATATTATTGACATCTGCACCAGCATCTAGAAGAGACCTAACCATTGTGATGTCTCCGTATCTGATGGCGCTAGAGAGAGGAAATTCATCTGTGAACTGATCATATCTCCCAATGTTCGCTGAGTTGAGATATTGACCAACTTGGCGGCCAGGATCTGGGGTATCGACGGCAGTTAGGTGGTCTAGTAGCAGCTGGACTATCCGAGAGTTTCCGGAGCACACAGCGTATTGGATAGCATCCTCCGGTATGGCATTGCCGTTTTTGGGCCTGGCATCTTGAGTGAGGATGGCGCTAACCAGTTCTGCGTTTTTAAGTCGAATGGCGTTTGGCAGCAGTTGGCAAGCAAAAACCTGACATGTTGATTCTTTTCTGTTGATGATCTCCTTTAAAGCCCAGATGTTTCCGCTTTCGGTCACCCATCTCAGAAAGTCGTCGGTTTCCTCGTCTCTGAGTAAATTGTTGGAAGAAAGGTAGATGACCCGTTGAACCGCCTGCAAGAAAGGCTGCGTCTGTGAAAGGCGTTGAAGCTGGACATGCGTGTCATCGCCCGGTCTCCCCGGCATGGTCACTGGATGGCGTGACAACAGTTCAGAGAACCCTCTGTATGATCCCTGAGCTTCAAGGATTCCAGTCCAAGTTTGCTCTGGAAGTGGACTCTTAGGAAGAGTGGGGGACTGGAGAGGCTGGGATGGGGGTCTCTGGGAAGCTGGCGGGCTTCTTGGAATAACTGCATATCGTCAGTCCTGAGATAGTCGACCTTGTATTTGATTTGATGTCACTTACGCAGGCTAGCGAGGTAGTCCTGGAATTGAAACCAGGGGAGGTGATTGGGCATAACGAAGCCGCTGCTCAGGCTGGATGGCGGAGTACGGGCAACGACTCGTTCAAGATCACCACCAGGCTCAACTTGGGAGAAACGTCAGTTTTTTCGTCGGTTGTATTTCCGAGCAGACTTACTTGGCGGTGCCCATGAGGGTGGCTGCAAGTAGGCATATCTGCCGAGCTCCTTTCTCAACTTCTTGGTTGAAATGACCTTGCCATTCATCTGCAGCTCCGTCTCTTTCCCCTCCAGTTTCCGCTTGCGAACCACGGCGACGGCATGCCCCCACTCATTTTTGGAAGAGTTCTTTTTGAAATCCCAACTGTCGAGCTTGCGCACGTATTGTGCCTTGCTATTGATAGGAGGAGGGTTAGTGGGAAATTTTTTTGTACTTCAATGCCAATACAACAAGAGATTGGACTTACGTGGGCTGAAACCCATGTTTGTCTGCCATGAGTTTGATGACATCTTCCAGTTTCTTTTCTTGGGAGATGTACAGGTTGTGAATGGTGGGTTTGTGCTTCTCCCACTGGGCGTTGGGGATTCTCGGTGCCCGAGACATCTTCAGCCTGGGAGCGTTCAGCCTGGGAGCGCAAGGGGAGGGCCGGTGTAGGTAAAAAGAAAAGAAGGGGGAAAAAAAAAGATCAAAAGAGCAGTAGACACAAATTTGGGGAGGACTCTAGAGTTGATTCTCTTGATGTTGACGGGGCTTGCTGGTTGCAGAGTTGTCAATGTGAGAAATTTGAAGTAGAGTTCGGTCAGCCGTGTCCCTTTAATGCTTTTGGGTTGTAGCCCATCATCAGGACACCTGACGCGTAAAGGTTCACTTTGGGCACGTTTGCCAAAATTTGCAATGCAATAATCCCTGTTCTGATGCAGAGTACAAGCTCCTCATTGGAGTGGCGCATCTTATCTGCGCCCGGCCAGAGCTCTTTGGCCAATACGTCAGGCTTCACTCTCAAAGAAAGCTCGGCTTATTGGCTCTGCCCAAAATTCGCATTCTCGGCCCCACGACGAGGGCCAAGCGCTCGCCATGCACCCTGTTCAGCCACATCAGGCAACTCTCGGAGCTGTACCGGATGGAAGTACCACGCATTCCTATAGGCCGTTGCCATAATTCTCTTTCATGGCTAGCATGGGTGTGCTGCCGATGCACAGAGATTGGTCAGTGCCAGAATTCGTTCCGCTGGAGACTGAGCCGTGTCCAACTGGGATCAACAACAACCCCTTTGCCAAAATTTGCAATATTTTCCCTACATATGGCGAAAATCCCGACTAGGGGTCGAAGCGTGCAACTATGTCCTCCATTCCCCTTCTCTATCCTCAACCGCCACCCTCAACTTAAACCCATGGTTTTGTCCAACGAGGCCATCATCTCCATTGTTGGGGTCTTCGTGGCCATCCCTGCCGCCGGTCTGATTTTGTGGCAGCTTTGGAGGAAGTACAAATCCCCAAAGCCTATGCCGGTGCAAGCATTGGGTTAGTTTCACTCAACCAGCCCGTCCACCCTGCCGTGATAACAAGCTGACTTTAGATTTGTTGCTCAGAAGCAGGCACGCCTCTTGACTCTTATAATCATGGCCTTGAGTCTATCTCGTCTCGGAATCCAATCAACGACGTCGTTGGCTTTCGTGATGTCTCGAATTCTGCTCTAGCAATCTCGGTACCCCTCCAGTATCGAACATCCGGACTACACATATCCATTCATCCGGCTAGATGGATGCCATCCATGTAGAAAAGGGTAAACTCGACACATAGCGATTTGGCCTGGCCTCTGTTGCAGCTTCGACCTCATAGGCCAGTTCATCTTTGTGAGATTCGTGGAGGTGCATTGGAGCGCATTGGTGGGGGAAGGCTCACATGTTAAAATGTATACGACCCAATAGGCTCCTAGGTGATACCGGTTGTTATTTTAACATTATATGCCGAGCGGATGTTTTAGTGGGCTCGTCAGGGATCACCCCATTTTAATGCAGGTCCACGTTTCTTTTCTCTCCTTTGACTTGCTTGTACGTAGCCGAACCATGAGCATGTCCCAATTTTGGCTCCTAAGCTCCGACATTGTCCATCTGTGGCCCATACCTGCCCCCACCCCCGCCCCTTGCCTGTGCCCGAAATATCCTCATTGTTTATTTGCACTCTGCCCGGTAGCAGAAGGCTCAAAAAGGCCACTGTGTTAGCATTGGGTCATGATGATATGATGTGTTGATAGTCTGTTCTTTATTATAGTTGCAGCCCGGCCCTCGATGGGTTAACTGAGCCCGAAGATCGTTCCCATCAAGGTCCGGGCTGCAACTACAATAAAGAACGGATTTTTTTCACCAACTACATCCTCTTCCCTGGTCTCACATACTTCCAGTAGCAGAAGAAATTCAATATATTATCTCAAATTCGAACCTCAATAGCTGCATAAGACTCTTAGGAGGGGGTGTTAGAGGCATTGGCCGAAGCGACAGCCTTGTCGCACAAGTGGCTATGCACTCGTAAGCGAGGTGTGGTTGTCTCACTGCACTACCCCTCAGATTATCCAGTTTCCTAGCGCAGTACACGTGTATCCGCATTGTTGGCCCAGCAAGATGTTCCCATAAAGTGAATCATCACTGGGCAACAGCAGCCTCAATTTTAGGCTGAATCTTACTTGTAATGACATCTATTGAACGGTCTTATTATTTGATCTTTCCTAGTTTCTAGATTCAACCTCGTCCTCCCATTCCTCTGGTCTACACCCTTGATGGACGTCTCAAAATGGCTGACGCTACCCCTCTCTATATTCACGATCCACGTGATCTTGATTCTACCCTACGCGACAGGAGACTCTCGGGCCTCGACGTCTATGTATGGGAGCCTGCAAGCAAGTCGTTCGAGTACGGACGCCACCGACTGGGAGCGTGGAGAGTTGCACAAAGAACGAAGGCACGCCCAGATGCCATATTCTGGGGTCCAAGCAGCGAACTATACGCCAAAGACAAACGGCACAGTACTACTACATCATCGATAGTGAGTAGTACAGCTGCATCGATCTTCGGGCTCAGTTAACCCATCAAGGGCCGGGCTGTAACTATAATGAAGAACAGACGTACCACTGCATCTAGAGCGATCAGACCACGTAGAGTTTTGCAAGGTCCGCTAGCTTCATGGAATTGGGAATATCGATACCGCCCGGAGCTGCCTGATACGTCCATTGTCGTGGCTGGAGACGAGGAATCAGTGGAGGCGACATTATGTGAACATTGCGTCAAGATTCCTGTTGGGAAGCTTCTTCTCTCGGAAAGCAGCTACAAGCTGCAAGGCAAAGCTTCGTATCTAAACGTCAACTCATGCCGCCTCTGCCGCTTAGTATTTCGGCATATTAAGAACAGGCCCCCCTCCCAAGACGACGAAATATCTCTGTCTGTGAAACCAGCGGATGGCATCATGTCACCAAGACTTGTTATTCGAATAGGTACACCAAGTAGCCCCCTTTCGAACGACACAAAAATTGACACGATATCCCAGGTTCAAAACAGAGCGAGCAAGCGTCCCTTGCCATCCTCCATGGAATCGGAAGTAAAGAGTACTTTCGCTTGCTGCAGAAATGGCTGCATGAATCCAGCGCTAGTGACCGCGAGATGTATCCGTATGATCCTCCAACTCGGTTGATTGGCATCTCTCGGTCCGAAGATAGATTCATATTGCGGCTTGTTGAGACGGAAGACTTGCATTTCAGCTCGCCGCAATACATCGCCTTATCTCATCGCTGGGGCGGTATCGACACGTTCTGTACAACCACAGATAACTTCCAGGAGCGGCTGAACGACATTCCATACTCCGAGTTACCTAAGACATTTCAGCACGCTGTCATTACCAGTTGGAATCTTGGAGTCAAGTACCTCTGGATAGACTCGCTCTGTATCATCCAGCGCGACGTGAGGGACTGGCGCCGCGAGTCGGCAAAGATGGAGAATGTCTTTGCCTTCGCTCATTGTACGCTTGCGGCCACTTCAGCGAAGGACTGCAATCAAGGCTTCCTGAGCAGGTCAGCTGAAAGTTCCGTCAAACTCACTGATCCTGATTCAAACCCTGCACCATTTTTTAACATCAAGGAAACGGAAAATGATTTCAACAAGGATGTGACTCAAGGCCCGTTGAATAAGCGGGCGTGGGTATTTCAGGAACGAGTCTTATCGCGCCGAACTATTCACTTTACGGCCCAACAGACATACTTTGAGTGCGGCTCCAACGTGTGGTGCGAAGCCATGGGCCCGGAGCAGTCGTAAGTACCCAGGGCCATGTTGGGACTAGTGAGGAGTAGGAAAATACTAAATTGGCGTCTAACAGGTTAGAAAGTCCGCTACAGAAACTGCAACTTCGGCTGTTTGAGCCGGGGGGGTTTTCTCAAAAGGAAGATTCCTTATTCGAGACCTGCTTCTCCCAATACTCGAGCCTGGATATCACAAACTGCAGGGATCGCCCTGCGGGCATTATGGGCCTTGAGTCCAGATTGGCAGAGTCGTATGAGACGGCAAGTTTGTACGGAATTCTCCTCTCGTCATTCTACAACAGTCTTTTCTGGCATCGTTCAGGGGACAAGAGAATGACAGGGATTGATTTCCCGGACGAAAGCGTGCCGTCCTGGTCTTGGATGGCTTACGAAGGAGCCGTAAACTATGGTCTCTTGCCGGGTTCCTTCACAGGTTCGATCCAATTCGACAGTGCAGGAGAGGAAGATGAGGACATCAAACTCACCAACGCCGGAAAACTCGCCCCTATCCAAGAATCAGGCTTCTTGCTTATCGCTCCACTGTACCAAGTTTCAGGCAGCTACATCATGGAACCTGACGGCAGCTCCAACTGCAAAATGATGGCTGGGAACAAGTTCCTTGGGTGGCTCAGATATGATGGTGAAGACAAGAAGGTTGGTATGAATTTACTTTGCATCCGGGTTGGTCGGATTGATATTGAGGAGGAAGATGATCTGAGCGCTGGTGAGCTAGCTCGGAGCAATTTTGCTCCTATTATGCTTCTCACACCCACAATTAGAGATGGGAGGCATGTTTATAAGACATATCAAAGGCTCGGTGTGGGCATAATTAGAGAAGGATCGTTGGTGCGCGATGAGCAAGGACCGGTTTGGGTGGCGTGATTCTATACCCACGTCATCGCACTCTCACTGTCGCTGGGATCAGATTGCTATTATCTAATGGAACATGTATTTCTCGCGCAAATTCAAAGTGTCTTGACCATAAATTATGCCAAGTTAGAGTGGAAACTGTCTTCCGGCAGATATCAGATAACACGCTCTTCTATTAATGCCAAGAGAAGGTAAAGTCTACAGGTAAATGCCTTCAGACTATAGGACTCCGGTGGCAGGAATTGTTTGCTTCCCCCTATGCATAGCAGATGGCTGGATTCCAAGAGACGAGACACTTGATAGCTAAGATGCGGTTTCAAGCAAATTGGCAAACAGTGACGAACCTGCATAATGTCTTTTAGCTTAGTCAACCCATTAAGGTCTGGGTTTTAATTATCATGAAGAACACATGGGATAAGCCTAAATTCTCAAATGCAGTGTTGGCTGTTTTGACAGAGTGAGTGTCGTGGAGAACATGATCCATGCATATTCCTTCAGTCATCGTCCTCGGAGTCTCTCCGCTTCTTCTTCCTGCCTCCACCTCCAAATCCACCAGAGGTGGCGGGCTGACTTTGCAGATGAACAACCAACCGCGTCCAGGACTCTTCTTTATCCCACTCGAAGCCAGCCAAGTAAGGACGGTCCAGCTCATCGTCAGACTGCTCGATGTGTCAGTAACCCTGGGAATATTTTGGTAGAGAAAGCATTGTACCCTTTTCTTGAAAAACTTGTGAATAGCGTCGAGTGCGTCCTTGATAGTTACTCCCCTGAGGTTTCTGGCCGTAACCTCCGCGCCCAAGGGGAAATGCAAGTCGATACTTCTGACCGGGGGCTTTGTCAGATGGAGCTTAAGAATGGACGGATCTTCGACTGTGGTCGAAGATTTGTTGATTTTCCTGGCAGGATGTGAGCATCAGGTGTAGATAAATGATGTAACAAAGTGTGTGACGCACCATCCTGTTTTCTGGGTCTCGATAGCGATCTCAAGATCCATACCCTCAGCCTCTACCGACAAGAATCATCAGTCAGATATTCACATCAATTTGATTGGAGGTCTTACCCAAGTCATTGACGTCGTAAACCCCAGGAACATTGCGATGGTCGTGGTCATGGCCATGGCTTTCGGAAGTGAGAGCCTCCAGAGCTTCGTCCGACATAGTTGATAGTTTGACTATAAGGCAACATATGTCAGCATGATCCCGAGGAGATCAGGGCCTCACCAAACTAACGTGATTTGATTGAGGCGGTGAGGCTATTTGAGATTTTGATGGACGAAGAAGGAAGAAAAATGACCTGATTCTTGCGGGGAGGAAGAAGGTACTAAATATCTCGAGGTCTGAGACATTGACATCATCACCAAGCCCATACTAGTGTTGTTTGGGCTAGGTGGCTTTGCTGATCGGGATCAAAAGCCTCCAATTGCGATATGGGAACACGCGCCCGAGTGATCATTTTGCATTAGAGCTTCTTACACGTCATCAGAGGCTTTTATTTCAAAGTTCCCGTGAGATCTGACAGGCAAACAGAGTTGAGCATACAATGGTGGTGGGGGACTGAGTTCAAGGTCCGCGGTCATTCTTTAGCGTCGATCTGGAAGTTAAGGTCAAGTCGGTCAGCCACTAGCAGAGGTAAAATATGTCACTGTAATTATTCAATGATACCCTATCTACACTACTCTAGTAGCTTGGCCAACATCCTTCCCCTTCAAGTTCACCTAGAAGCTCGACTTCCTTCACAAACTTGGTATCCATGAGGGGAGGTGAATGTGAGAAAGCCATTGAGGTAAAGGCTCCATGGACATGGATAAGCCTTGAGGTCCGGGTTCTCGCCCTCGATGTCGTAAACTCGAAGTACAATGTACGCGTTGTTGGGGTCGTCGTCAAACCTCTGCATCTATGAAATCATCAGCTCGGTTACACAGCAAAGGGGTTCTCGTAGAAGCCATACCGCGTTGACTTGATTCTGGCTAACGTAGAATATTTCCCCGCAACCGCCAGTGGTGGTCTTGACCTCCAGGTGATAGGTAGTGTTACTGGCATAAGCTGGGTTGAGATCCAAGCCGACTTGTAGGAGGAACTGCTTCATATGGCCGTGGGTATCGAGGTACGTAAAGTCGCTAAAGTCTCTCTCGAGTTCCGTGAAGGGCGGATGTCCGTTCTCGACTCGTAGCCTACTGGTCCAGTTTTCAAAGGACCAGTCACTGACATTGCGTTCGAACAGAGCATGAATCTGCAAAAGAAGATAAGCATCGGGGTAACAAAGACAGAATAACGGTATCTTACGAAAGCCTCTCCGAGGAACCCAATCTTCCTCGTTCTGACTTGATGTGCAGTCGACGTAGAGGTCAATTCTGGAACGCGATCCTGATCTTCACCAGCCTCTGTTGAGGAGCCTGGGAGGACTCCTGCTACAGGGATATTTGCCTGAGTATGAGAATGTTGAAGGGCGTGTAGAAGCCTCTCGCTTCGAGACCGAGCTTCAACAAAACCACGCGTTATGGGACGCTTCGATATCCGGTAATTCCTTGCACTTCTGGCCACGCTCTGAAGGCGTGATTGGAAGGAAGGGATCAAGTCGCGCAGGGAGTACTGGGCCAGAATCTGTTCCGAAAAAGTGGAAAGATTCTGTTCGGAAAGTCGAGACGGCTGGTTGACGGCAATGAATTGTCCACTCGGTTCATCAAGAACCATCACTTCGGGCTCTGTTGCAGCCGAGACGGTCAGGCTGCTAATGGCTCCCGCATCTGGTGGATAACGATTGTGCTTAGCCATGATTGTGTTCAACTCGCCAAGTGGAGCAGTCAGCAACAAGTTGAAGAGATTAATATCTTGGGGCTTGATATCGTGCTGTTTAGAAAAGAACTCGGCTAGTTTGTAGTTGACCTCAGCCTGTTTGGATGGAGGAGTGACGGCACGGAAGTAGATTTCTGTGTAGTCAGGCGTTTCTTGGATCGTGGCGAACTCGTTGTCTTCTTCAACTGTGGTGGAGCCGAGACTTCTTGTGATGACAACAGATGGTACAGACCACACTCGCAGGGGCCTGGTGTCCTGTCTCGAACCGAGATCGGGTGGTGGATTGAGACTGGAGATGTTAGCAGAGTTGGCGTGGACCAAAAACCCTCAAGAGTTACTAACAGAGAAAAGTATTGAACTCGAATCTTGAGATCTCGTTCGGCTGACATGTCGTGGATTTGCGTCCCTCGTGGCTCGACGGTCTCTTCGATGGCGGATGAAAGGTACTTGCTCCGGGAGTTCATCCTTGAGAAGAAGGAGTCCAGAACATTCACCACCCTGACGGAAAAGTTGAGGATGTTAACCTTGCCTCGGAAGGCTGCTTCCAATGTTAACCTGTCCGGAATATACCAATCCGCATCGTGTAGGGATCTCAGGAGCACCTCAAACTTTGTATCAGGATGCTGGGTTCGCACAACGGGGAAGACTTTGGCATGTAGAATGCGCAGGTAATGTGTCACTGGCAATTCAGATCCTGCTGTCAGACGTTCGCTCAGCATCGTCAACAGTTCCTCGCAGCGTTCGGCCATTCCGTCCGAGGATTCCTCATGTAGTAGGCAGAGCTCATCTGCAATGTTTTCGATGCTGGCAGGTCCAACACCAAGGATATTGCAGAACAACCTCCTACAGTCGCCGTAACGGTTCGATAGCTTAGTTACCTGCTTTAGGGCTGAAGGTGCACTCCACACACATGAAGCGTGTGTGACCCATTCTGGATTAGGTCTGGCCACAAACACCAGAGGTTTTGAGTTGAATACTTCCCTGAAGACAAATGTTATTATCTATAAAGAAATACAAGAGATGGGCGAAGGTCTTACAAGATATCTTCAGCTTCTCCATCTAGGCTTAGAGACAGCCCGTGGTAGGTCTCATGGATGAGGTCCCTGTCAATCGATTCGATAGGGAGACTTGCCAGTGCCTGAAGCTCCTTTAACCTGGAAGCGGTATTGGGTGCCGTGAGGATCCCAAACTGATCGAGAAATCTCCACCTCTCGGGAGTTGGTAGAGCAGCAAATGGAAGATGCGGACACGCCCGCAGAAGATCTGAAGTCGGTATGGCCAACTCGCCAAGTCGCCGACGAGTACCATCACGACAATCCACCTGGAGTTCTGGGACGGCTGGGAATAGTCGAGTGTGGATGGAATTGCTTTTCCAGAGTTGCTCGACAACCAGCAATAAATCTGTCACACTTTTCTCTCTGAGAAACACCCATTCGGCGCTCAAGTAGTTGTTGCTGATGAGAACTGGGATTGACGAGATGTTTTCGGATTTCAAGAGCCAGCGTTTAAGCTCATCTTTGACGGCGCTATTCTCACCACAGATTGTGCTCACGTATCGTTCATCCAGGATGTAAAATGGATGCCTTGGCGTGTTTCTGTACTTGTTGACGAGACGGGGCTTGGCTGCGCGGTCGTCAATGTAGAGTTGATGCTTGCGACGGGTGGAAGCCTCATAGTTGTTGGCGTAGAAAAAGATCTCGGGGGCGCCTTGTCCTGGGCGTAGATGCCGATACTTAAATAGGTAAGCCACATCGCTTATAAGGTCCTCCGGTTGGCGGTCTGACAGGTCGGAACCATTGCCAGCATGGAGTTCCATGATGAGATTATAGACTTGAGATGGGGTGTAGTCTAGGATGCCCAAGAATCGGTAGAAGCGTCTTCTAACCGAGTCCTGGCATGCCGTCCGGTCGATGATCGATATGCTGATACCACTAGGAACATATTCGTCCTCAGCCTCAGAGGCCATGTAGAGGTGTTCAGTTTTGGCGTTGACCCATGAACCGTCTCGAAGAGGAATAATGGGAAGCTCCATCAGAAGGTCCCTGAGATCCGTCTCGTCACAGAAGAGACTGGCGACGTGCTGATGCCACCCTGGCGGATTGGCGTCAAGGCCAGCAGAGCCGACCTCTGCGACCCAAGTTGAGAACTCTTCGCACAACTCGAATGTACCAATTCTTTGGACTCCAAGAAGGCCAAGCTCCTCAAAGACACCATCGTAGTTAAATGATAGATGCTTCTCCCGTAGAGAAGGGGAGTCAAAGAGGGCCTCCCCTTCAAACCTGAACTTGCGGGGCATGAACTTGAGCTCTGGGGGTTTGTAAGGACCAGCGACAGGGTCTCGCGATCCGAGAATCTTCTCATCTTTAAGATTCCGTATGATAGCTTCGTGCAGCTCGTTCCAGAAGGGATGCGCGTGTCGATGATGTTTGATGTACTTGGGCCACGAATATCGTAGTCCCCCTTCTGAGTGGCTTGCTGGAATAGCTGCAAACCGTTTCACAGCTTTCAAGAAGGCTTTTCGGACGGCGTCCCATAGGGCTGCGTTCCACTTGCGACCATAATCGAGGCCTTCACGACTTGCTACAAGTAGAAAGTCGGCATGAATAAGGAACTATGATTAATCAAGTTAGCAACCCCCTCTAGCGTTTCATCTTGACCACAGATACATACCTTGAATCCAAAGTCATCGATCGGGAGAAAAGCAAATGCCTTTTGCGGGCTAATCTTTGGTTTGGAGTGTTCAATAGGAAAGGCCAGGATAACCTCAGACGTCGTGATTCCCTCTCTCCGGACATCCTTGGGTATTTCGCTGGTCCTGTATCGCGCGATGGAATATCCCATCTTTCCAGATGTGGCTTCATCTTGATGGTTGGAATGAATAGTGACGATCTCTCCCAGCGCGGCAGAAGTATCACCTTCAATGTGATAGGACTTTCTGGTGTCGCCAACTTGGATGTTCAACCCACGGAGGTTTTTGAGGAAGATGAGAAGCTGAGGCTCGATATTCCGCAGGTCAGTCTCGATCTCGACGCAGTCTTTCTCATCTCTCAGTTGGAGAAGGAACTGGGTATGGTCGGGAAGGCGTTGTGTGCTCGGAAAGGCGGAGCGGATGGGAAGGATCATGCCGAGATGTTCATTCCGGTCGAACTTGAACTCGTAGGGGCCGCTCGCAACATGGACAATGTCGGCGGCCTTGAAGACCGACTTGAAACCGATTCCCTTCTCACCTATGTAGCCTCTCTGTCCATTGGTTGCCCCCTTCTTGGTGCTCTGTCCAACTTGGGTTATAGCGTCGATGTCTGCAAATGTGAAGCCAGCTTCATTGCAATCCGTTCGCAGATATCCTGTATCATATTCCGAGAACAACGTCAGACTGAGGCTTGGCGTCACTCCGGGCGAAAAGGTGGTATCGTCGGCATTTTGAATGAGTTCGAGAAGGAAGTGTGAAGGGTTTTGGTAGAGCTGATCCGAGACCCTAACTCTCGTGTTAATACTTGGATTTTGGCTCCCGAGAGGAACACTTGCACGTCAAGAGTTGCGATGAGGCTTAGTTCTGTCCGGCTTGGCTGTGCATTTCGTTGTCGTCCGGCACCGTACTCTCTCCGGATGTACTCAATCTGAGCGTCAGCGGCCAATTTGGATATCGCCTTGTTACTCATCAGGAATGCAGTGACACAGAGATAATACTCAGAATATGAGGAACTGATAAAAGAGGTTTGGAGGGAGTAGATGGAATACAACGGTGCTTGATTCTTGGTTTGAAAGATCATACCAAGCCGGGCCTTGATGAGATAACTGAGCCAGAAGACGCAAGGAAGATAACTTCCTAGAAAGACGCTATTTTTGGCAAGGCATTCTTCGAGAGGCCGCTCAGAGACCTAAGATCGATAACATGTTTCTGATGTCGGTAGGCCTTGGTATGGCCGCATGATTCAGACCCATTAACCGGGCCATGTTGGCTCTACGCGACCCTCCATTCTGCTATGATATGAGTTAATTGGACCATAAAATGGAAAAACGTTAAATTTAGTTACATGCTAAGCCTCCTGCTTAGACTTCTTGAAACATCTTCAACCAACAACATTTTTCGCCTGCATCTTTCTTGACCATCTCTCCCTGTTATCTCGACTCATTGTTTCTACTATTATGGCCTACTCAATGCTGAACTTTCGGGGACAACTTTCTTCCATGCATCCGGCCCTTCCATTAATAATGACGCCAATTTCAGAAATCCACATGATTCTCCAGCTCTAGAAAACGGTGAAACAGGACTAAATCGTCCCGATACGCAATTGCAACCCGCAAGGTGTGCCCGCCTACCATCCGAATCACGGGCTCTCCTCCGCTTCTCCACAAAGGCGGTATGAAAAAGTATCTCGTGTAATGTGTCGTCTGTGCGCTGACGTCGAGACAGATTGAGCACACCCATCCACGACGGCAAAGAAAGAATATCTTGGACTTATAGACTCCGAGGATCATGCCGACTTTGGCTACCAGTTCTTTAGTAGTCCCGGTAAGTGAAACCGTTGAGGCCGCCGGACCAAGCTCCGTGGCATCCAGTCTGATGAATGCAGTGTCTTTTGAGCACGGTATTGCTTGCACCAGTGTTTTGATACCACTCTGGTTGCACCAGTCGACAGGTATCGAAAGCGGTTCCATGCTTAAAGGAAGTTGCAGCTCGATGCCCTTCTCGCTGGACTCTTTCCCAAGTCCATCCCATTTGTAGAGATGGACTTGGTTCCCTTGGAACAGCAACAGGCGCGATGGGTCGGTAGGATGGAGTGTCCACCTGTCTGCTTCGGTAGACTCGCCGCTGATCACGACCTTCTCCTTATCACACAGCTCTTCGCCATCGGGTGTCACCAAAAGCATGGCGAGACTGTCCTGCTTCACCAACATCTGGATGACGGCCCCGGACGCCCTGTGCGACAGAAGTTGCTCCCTCTTTCTCCACGGAGCCTTCGACAAGCGGTGAGCTTCACATTGCCCTGAGATGTCTGCGCTGAAGAGAATCTTCTCTCGTGGCTGCCACTCCAGGTGTCGTATACTGGCCGTGTGTAGCTGCATCTCAAAAACCTGCTTCCCACTCGACACGTCGTGAATCGTCACAGATCCGTTCTCACGCCCGCAGAAGACAAAGTTGTCATCATCTGCTTGGGTTATAACTGTGATGACCCTATCATCGTCGAATGGTCGTGTGAAGAAGATACCTGGGGCGTCAAGGGAGGGTTGAGCGGAGTCGCCAGGGTCGCTCGAATCGTCATCAACGGAATGCTTTCTCATCAACACGGATGGCTCCCAGACATTGCAGGCGGTACCACGGATGTCATAGAGTCGCAAGCTGTTTGAAGCAAACATTATGCCCGTTGCAACCTCGTCGAGTCCCTGGATTCGGTGCAGGATGCGCAGACTATCGAAGTTGAAGAGACAGATGCCTCCCTCATTGTCTACAGCACCAAGAGTACGACCATCTGGGGAGCTGGCGAGAAGGGTTGCATGAAGGCTGTAAGAGTTCCGTTGGCGAGTATTCCCTCGTCCCCATCCGCCCATTTCCACAGTCACAATCTCCCCATCTTGGTAAGCGACCGCCATGAGAGCGGACTCGACAGCTGGGTTAAAAGCCACATCCAACACCTGAGGTGGGCGCACAGCCAACTCAGTCCCGGTCTTTTTGAACCTGCAAATCTGTTCCAGGTTGTCGTCCCCGTCCAGTTGAAATAGCATCAAGTGAGAGCTGCGATACGCCACTGCTGCAAATCCGAGGATAGGATTTATGCGGACAAACGAGAGGACGTATCTCTTGGTTGGAGTTGCCCAGTCAGTTGGGTTCTGATCTGAATCTGAGCTGTCTTCCATGACCGAGACAGGCTTAATCTCAGAACCGTCTGCAGTTGACAATGTCGAGATGGCTGACTCGATGCGGAGGTTATAGACCACAAACAGCTTGGAATCATCCGCATTGAAAGAGATTGTCCTCACCTGTGCCTTGAGAGGGATGTTCCACATCTCTTGATCGGGCAACTTCCAGAGCTTCATGTTTCGAGGACCACATGAGACAAGGACCTTGGTCGTGTTACCAAGAAGGAGATGTTGCACGGGTACAGACTTTGCAGCGATAAAGTGATTCAGCGTTGTGACGAGTTCGAGTGTGGAATTGTTGAAGAGTCTGATCTTCCCATTGGAGAGACCAACGGCAAGATATTGCTGGTTGGAAACAAGGGATCGGGGCTTGGCTGAGAGTAACAAAGCTGAGAGCCTGTCATCCCACTTGACGTTTGATGAACAGATGAGCTTTGAGCGACATCGACTGGCGAATGTTTGGTGAATCCTCGATGATGTCGGACAGAGAAGAGGGATCACTGTCCTGATGGTCTGAGGGACGTCGATGAGGTACGGTCCAAAGATTGTCACTAGCCGTGTGAGCTCGTCTACCCATTCGGCTGCCTTACCAAAGGGTGGACACTCATGGCGAGCTAGGTATGTCTTCAAGTGCTCGACTGCTTTGATCAGTGGGCTCAGTCTCTGCTTCAGAGCAACTCTCTCGACCCAGGTGAGTATGGTGGAGTCCATGAACTTGACAAGTAGCGAGAACAAGTGTGGTGATGTTGAATGGGAGTGGGCCATGTGGTAAGCGAAGTTGGCATCAGCATAGTCGTCGAGGGTAGATCCAGACACACTCGGCACAAGCAAGCCCCGACCGGTGAAGCGTAGGTCAAACTTTCGATCGTTCAAGTTCTGCAGGCAAATAGCAGCCATGGTCTCATGAGCCTCACGGAGGTTGATGTAGAAGCTTGAGTCAGTCGACGATACAAAGTCCTTGACCGTGGGATGCATCACTTGGACATGCGACTCGTTATCAACCGAGACCAGGCCCTTGCAGATCTGTGAGAAGACGTGATCAGGCTCGGAAGCAAGAATGGTACGGCCGCAATCTAGCTTCACAGCCACTTTGATGACGTCCGTGGTGAGAGGTTCAGCAGCGCAAACCGCCCATTTGATGATGCATTTCGCCAGTTCGGCACTGGATGATTGCTCAATCTCTCCCAGGATTCTCGCGTAGAGCTTGCTCATCTCCGGAGGTGTCTTGATAAGCTCCGCCAGCATGTCCTCGACACTGTAGAGGTCATCTAGACGATCCAGGATGAGAGATGCCCAGAGAAAGACACCGTTTGACCGTTTGACGATCTCGGAAACAATCTCACCCTCGCCACCCAGTTGTGCTAATCTCGGTTGAGATCTGACAAAGTTTGAGATGTCTCTCAAGGACCCTTCTTGACCGGTATGTAGCTCGGGGAAGTTGAGATGCTCCCGGTCAAGTAGGCGACCAAGATGCGTGTTTGTCCGACTCGTAGCAAAGACGCGGAGAGGGACAAAGTTGAGCTTGGCAAACATCTGGATGAAGGCCACCAACGACTTGTGTGGACACTCATCTAGGGCGTCAATGACCCAGTACTGAGGCTTGGAGAAGTTGCACTTGAATATGCGGCCGAGGAAGATGTTGTTCCAAATGACAGTGTGATCATGGGTATTGGCAGCATACCCCTCCTCAATCATGGAGATGAACGATTGCCGTACACCGTAGTTGATCCAAGCCATCTGAAAGGCTAAGCTTCGAAGGAGGTGTGTGACGGTGGCCTTGGAGTTGTTCTTGAAGAAGTAGTAGCTGCAATCCTCATTGTGGCCTTCAAGGTGCTTAATGACGTGCGCGGCTGCCACCGACTTGCCAGATCCAGGAGGGCCGTTGAGCCAGAGAAGCCTTGGCTTGGCACCGATTGGGCTCGTGTCAAGAGGTCCGATATCCAGGTCGTCGTTGACGTTGCAGTCGACCCATTCCTGGAACTTGTCGTGGGTCGTCAGCCACTCACACGACCCGCCATGACGCTTGTGGGCCTCCGTCAAGACGTCCTTTGTTGGGCGCTCCGAGACTTCGAGATAATCGCTGATTGTCTTCATCTGGGCCTTGAGGAGCTCGACCTGCCTGCAGTCATCTGCGAGATCCTTAGCTAGTGGCTCACAACGGTAACATGTGACTTACAGTCTTTGTCAATGTCTTGGATCGTGGTCTGGAAACATCGGTACAAGGTAGCAAAGTTTGAGTTGTTGGAATCATCAAACTTGCAGAGATGGCGATGGTCTGCGTTGAGGTATCTCGTTTGCTCCCCAGGTAGCCCTGGAACCCATGTTAGTCGAGGTTGCAAATCTGGATCAGTAAACCTGCCTATCACAGCAGAAGTCTGGGGGACGATCAACTGGCCACTGGTGGGGATCGATTCGTAGAATGACCAGAGATGGACAGATTTTGGGATGTGCCGAAATTCGTCATTGATGGCCTGTGCGTAAGGTTAGGATAGTTGAAGATCGATCCTCGTGACATAACCTTAGGGAGACTTACCTGAACTGTTGGAGAATCAGGAAGAAGTTCCTTGGCGTATTCTTTAGCCCCCGTTGGATGGGAGAGTCTGAGATAGTAGTCGAGATAGACCGCAGAGTTTGCCCCACGATGTGGTGTTCCCAGGAAGTAGAAAGTATGGACTCGGTCAATCATGGCCTTGTGTAAGGGATCGCGACTGCCCAAGAGATATGCCTGGTAAATAGTTAGTCAAGGAGACCGTTGAGGGTCATCCGATAACAGCAACCTTCTTGGCGACAAGCCCTCCCATGCTGTGCGTCACAAAGACGATGGGTGTCTTGACTAGTTAGCTTCTTGGGCTTCGAGAGACTACAGAGGGGAGAACTCACTGGCCCATTTCGCTGGAGTGCAATCGAGTTGGACATGTCCGTGAGCAAAGCCTGGGCAAAGTCATGGATCATGAGAGGACTCTTCCCTCCCTTGGACCACTCCGACTCGTAGCCGAAACTGTGTATCCGGGCATAACGGAACCCGGCTTCGTACGGAAGCCATTCTTTGGGCCAGAAGGATGATTCATCCTCGGCATCGTAACACCAGGTCTTCCTCGAATCACCTTGCAGCCCGTGGATCTACAGAACATGAGCAACAGAGCGCGATGGAAACGGACGCTATCTGCTGTCTCAAAAGGCAACTAACAAAGATGAAATCGACTCGCGACTCGGACGGTTCGTAGAGGAGGTTCAAGCCCGTGGGTCCCTTTGTCTTCGTAGGCTTGGCGACGGAGATTTGCGAGCCGGAGATGGAGGAACGTATTCGACTACGCCATCGTCCACGGAGGAGAGCGGGGGCCGAATGTCGTTGCCCGCTCGGAGACGTCGTTCTCGGAGATTCAAGAATCGGAAGGGGAGACTAGAGATCCCAAGATTAGCATAGGTCCGATAATGTGGGAGAGGGAAGATATTCACCAGAGGATCGTCGTAGTCAACCATGGTGACCCATGAGTCAGAACTCTTCTAGTAGGTTTCGAGTATAAAAGAGCTCAGACGAAAGAGGAAAGTACTAAGAGTTCCAAGAGATTCTCAGAGTCAAACATACTCGGTGGATGAGGTGACTGTGACATCGAAAGGACGCAGAGGGCACGCCTGTTGTCAAACACGGCGGGCATAGCAGAAACCCTATCATTCTCGGCTGAAAGTCCTACGTGGCTCTGCAGTCTCAGGCAGAGAAAAGTGCAGCCATGCAGACAAGGCAGCAGAGACTCGGAAAGAAGCAAACACAATTCATGCAGAAATGAGGCGCTGTCAGCAACACACCGACTGGTCTGGGGTTGCTTTGTCGCAGCCCAACAATCTGTATCAAGAAATCTTGAAATGGAGGCGGGGTAAGCGTCGTGTGCCCTCCTTCTCTTTTGAGCCAGTCCAGAGCTGGAAGATACAGGCCGTCATTGTTTTTAAATGTGATCCTTTGTCTTCGTAGGCTTCTTGCACGATAGTCTTCACGCCTATAGACGAGCAAGGCCCTCTTGGCTCATTGCAGCCGCAAATTTGTTTGGATTGAAAAGGTCCAAGGCAGAAATGCTTCGAAACCTGTGTAACCACCCAGTATGAACATTCGGTATGTGATACGGTGTACATCAGCTGAAACTCATACAGCGGGGTGGCAGGAGAGGAATCAGGCTGAGAGAAGGATTCAGCCAAAGGACGTGGCACCAACAATGCTATTCAAAAGCCACAAGACGCTGGAGGCCTTCTCCAGCTCTTTTTACCATTGTTCATCTTCCGACCCTGCCACCACTCCTCACCAATCGCTCCGCAAGCAACATGGCCAGAGACGAACGAGACGTAGACAAGAAGCTGGACAAGGCCTTGTTGGCTTGTGAGTGCCATGAAACTGATTGAAGTTAAATCTGGCTGCTAATAAGAAGCATTTGGCAGGCCTGCCTAAAGATGGGAATGTCATCTCGTGCGTCCCTTTGGGTCTGAGCGACTACTGCGACACGTTGAAGATCGGTGTCCAAGTCCCAGACGGCAGCATCCAGCAATTTTTTGCCAAGGTATGAAAGCCGATTGACATACAGAATGAGAATTAACAACGCTGGCAGATATCCAGAGGTCAGGCTGGCTACGACTTGTTGCTGGGAACAAATGCGTCAGAGAGTAGCCTGCACTCATTCATACCGGAACACGTTCCTCGCCCCCTCGGCTTCAGCACCTACGAGTCGGATCCCAACCGTCACTTCTTTCTTATGGAGTGGGTGGACATGCGAGACGACGACCTCCCCGAGCCCGAGGCCTACATGGCGCCGGTTGTGGCTCTCCACTCGAGAAGCATTGGCATGTCTCCCACAGGCAAGTTCGGATTCGGAGTGAACACTGCCTTTGGCAACCTACCACAGGTCAATAAGTGGGAAGATTCATGGGAAAAGTGGTGGACCGACTACATGACCATGATTCTGAATCGTGAAGAATCTCTACGAGGACCTCACACACCAGAGGACAAGGAACTCAAGGATCAATTTCTTACCAAGGTGCTACCCCGGTATCTGCGCCCGCTTGAGTCCAATGGGCGCTCGATTAAGCCCTGCTTGCTGCATGCAGACCTCTGGCCTGGAAATATCAAGTATCAGCTGGAAAACGAGACGGCCATTGTATACGACTCGAGTGGACTTTGGGGTCACAACGAAGGTATGAATCCGATCTCTGCGCTCATGAGTGCTGGGTATTGACGGTCATAGTCGACCTTGGTGTCATCCGGAACCCTAGATACCCTCTCGGATGTCCATATCTCAAGGAGTACTGGAAGCACATCCCCATTTCGGAGCCGCAGGAAGACGCCGACAGCAGGAATATCATGTACCTTGTGCGGAACCAGGCTCTTCTCGCCAGTCTTTATCCAGAAGACCATTCACTTCGAAACAGGTATGCCTCTTATCGAATAATCCTACGAGCTTATATACTGATCGATCCGTTCAGCTTTGTCAAGACAATGAGGGTTGTTGTAGACAGGGTCCTTGAAGAAGAAGCGCGTGGAGGAGCGAACGGTAGCTCGGTCCCTGACGGCTCTCGAAATCCAGCCTTTGTGGAGTTGGAGAAGAATGGCGTGTCGCAGCCGCGCGTGGCTCAACTTGAGACAGGAGGGATGAACTCTACCGATTGAGTTGATGCAATTGTAGATTCCTGGAATCATGGGAAACTTTGTTTAGCGCTTCATCTACCAATCTTGTCAAACACCGAATGAACTTGTACGTCCGTCACATTTCAGCCATCGTCAAATTGCTCCTTGCAATCTCTCGGTGCACAGTGTATCTAACAGTAAGCGATCGCCGGCCTCAGTGTCTCACGCAGGGTAGTTGTCTCCCCCTCAACCGGTCAGCCCCCGTGTAGACAGTGGTGTTATAGTTGTGATCAGGCTGTGATCTTTGTCTTCCCATTGGCGGGGTATGTGATGACCAGGGCCCTGCAGATGGTTGTTGTTATTTGAAAAGCAGGCTCTCAGCTCAGCACTGCTATTGGTTTATCCAACCAGCCGGTTTCGCATCACGCGACCTCGTAGCGACATTCTCACCTCGATGTGACGGTCTCGCCCAACTGCATACAGCAGCTGAGAGAAAGCGTGCGTGTCGCAGATCCTTCAACCGTGCCGCTTCCCCGGCCTTGGCGATAACCATCGGAATGCATGTCGCTATTGTAGGAAAGAAAATGCTTGTCGCTGAAGCGGGGAAGACGTCTCTTTTCTCGATTGTCGATGCTGTAGCGCCACCAACAGGTGAGTCGATGGCCAGGGCTCTCATCCTCCTCGACTTGCTACAGAGGTGTATTCCATGAGAAAGATCGTTCTCTGTGTCACTTTTTTTGTATATTTTATACAGAAATTTCTTGTTTGAAAATGGTTTCTTCTTCGGAAAAGGTCCCCGGCGACGTTCTTGAAGGCAGCCATAACGTCCCTCTTCAAGATCCAGAGGCCATCAAGGCAAACCAGCCCACAACACAAACAGTGGTCACTACCGCTAGTTCATCAGAAGAACCTCCATATTCTGTCTTTACAAAATGGCAAAAGCGATGGATCAACATGAACTCCTCGTTTGCGGCGATGTTTTCAACGCTCAGCAGTTACATCTACTACCCTGCACTGACGTCCGTGTCTCAAGATCTTGGCGTTTCTCTATCCTTGATCAATCTTACAGTTACTTCATACCTTATCATCGCAGGCATAGCACCAGCCTTTCTAGGAGATATGGCAGATCAGAGCGGCCGTCGCCCGATTTATATGTTAATGTTTGTCCTGATGATCAGCGCCAACATCGGCATTGCTTTGCAACACAGTTTTCCTGCTCTGCTGGTGCTGCGCATGCTGCAAAGTGCTGGCTCTTCCCGTACGTACCCTCTCATAAGCTATCATGTGATCCTAACAGAAAACAGCAATGATATCTGCGGGCTATGGGGTTATTGCAGATATCACGGCTGTGAATGAGCGTGGCGGCTTTGTTGGGATCTTACTTGTCATGTAGGTATCAGCCAATACAAGTACACCAAAAAATGTGCACTAACCTCGTCAAGGACTGATATTGCGCCGAGTCTGGGCCCTGTGATAGGCGGAGCAATCACAAATGAGCTTGGCTGGCGCTGGGTCTTTTGGTTCCTCGTCATACTCACAGGCACTCACTTCATCATCTTGGTCCTTTTTATGCCCGAGACCCAGAGGAACATCGTTGGGGATGGAAGTGGCAAAGTTACCGGCGTCTACTGGAGCCTTTTCACTCTATTCCAAAGCCGTGAGACCAGAATGAACCGACCAGAGATTAAACGACCAACGCGACGTTACCCCAACCCTTTATCTTGTCTCCCGATCCTTCGACATAAGGAGTCGTTCCTAACGATACTGATATACGCCATTACCTACTCGGTCAAGATGACCCTCCAAACAGCACTCGGTGCGCAGTGCGTCGAGATATACAAGCTGAACTATCTTACGAGTGGCTTGGTATATCTACCTTCGGGGGTCTCGGGAGGGATTGCATCGTATTTCACTGGTAATTACCAACACCCTGACATTTCTCTGTGTTGATCTAATAAGACTTTTAGGGAGATATCTGGACTGGAATTACAAAAGGACTGCTGAGAAGCTGTCCGGCTATGGTCGCGATTCACCGCTCTTCCCCATAGAGAGGACGCGTCTCAAGGGCATCTTTATCCTGATTACTATTAGCTCTCTAGGAACCCTAGGCTATGGCTTAGCATTGATGACCAGGGCGGTGTGTGGATCGTTCTTATTACGAGAGCTTATACTAACTTGGACATCTAGCACATTTCCGTCATGTTAATCATGCAGTTTCTAACTGGAGGATCAACAGCAAGTACATTCACAGTGAGTGCCCTCATTCCTCATTATGCACATGTTACTGATATTGTTAGATGACTTCAACTTTACTCACGGATCTCAACCTGAATAGATCCGCAACAGCTCATGCCGCCTCAAATATTGTCCGATGCCTAATGGCCGGAGGAGCAATCGGTATCATGGATCCGCTGATCAATTCAATTGGTTTCGGCTGGTGTTTTGGTATCTATGCTGCTGTTGCTCTCTTAGAAATTCCCGTGGTAGTCTATTTGTACAAGATGGGAGATCGGCGGACTCGGCAACATGGGTCGTCATGAGATTAGTGGGCTACACTCTAGAAGCCTACTTCATATTATTCTGCAAGAAATATTGACGACTATCTACTTCCTCCATAGCTTCAAATCATGTTTCCTTTGTCGTATCCTTTGCAAGTTTCTTCACCTCCTCCGCACTAAATAAGCTGGGCCCATCCTCGCTCTTGGACGTAGGCCACACAAGAGGAGCATTCGGCTTGTTCACACGGTGTTTCACATCTCCCATGTGTGTAATGTTCATTACAGCTGGTGCCAGAGCACCCTCGAGGCCTGCCCTGGCCTTGAGAGAAGACGTGCTGTATGCATACAACCGCAGCAGAAGACAGCCCCCAGTTATAGGAGGATCAAAGACGTATGCTCCACCAAAACTGGATGTTGCATCTGGGTCTGTGCAGAAGAAAGGGATATTCCAGGCTCTAAGACAGGATTCAAAGTTTGATTGGTCATCGGCAAAGTGGAAAGCCTCCTTCGTTCCGCATCCTGTCTGGTCAGTTGCCCACTTTGCCGACACCACGACGTTGTAACCGTCCTCCTCGAGGGCGTCAGCTTGACCGACCGTGTTACCAGGATCAAGGACGTAGCTCGAGGAACAGAATGATCCAATCACTTGCTGAGCTTGACTCTGTGTGAACTTGAGGAAGCCAGACTTCCCGGAGTAGCAGTAGCCGTCGCCTGTAGGGGTCGTATGAGTGGGGTATGATGTTTCATCTGCCGTCTTGGAGGGTTCAATGGTGGTTGTAGCCTTGGGCTCATCCGTGGTGGAAATGTGGATGTTTGAAACCGTGATCGAGATAGCACTTCCGACGAAAGAAGGGAGAATAGTAGCCGATGTCCCGTCAATCTTGGTCTTGATAACTGTCGTGGCAGATGGAACCGGATAGGCGGTCTTGGAAACCGTCACGTATCCACTCTTGACGCGGTACTGAGTTGACTTGATAATGGCAGTAGGGGAGAAAGTCGTCTTGTAGGCTGTTCCTATCTTGCTGCCATTGTCATCGCCGGTCTCATCCTTTTCCGGGTCAACGGTGATCAGGGGGCAGTATGAGCCGGTAGTTGTAGCAGTTGCAGTGAGGAAGCAGCCAGTGATGATTTCGGTAGCGGTGGTAGTGCATGACTGAGATTTGCAAGACACCCAATAGTCTGTAACCTTGGAGGTTGTGCAGTCACAGCCGATGTAAGTGTTGCAAACAGTCTTGCAGGGACTTGTCGTGCAAACTTGATGACACTCGGTATTAGTTTCGGTGGCACAGTCATCGTCGTCATCATCATCGTCGTCATCATCATCGTCGTCGTCGTCGTTGCCATCTTCACCGCCACCACTACTGCCACATCCAACACCGACGCAGTTGTTGGATCCTGGAGGGCATCCCAGACCGATGCACCCAGGTGTGCCACCACCGCTTCCACCTCCACCTCCGCTTGAGCCACAGCCAAAGAGGCAAAGGTGACCACAGCCAGATTTGCAGACAGGTCCAGGGCCACTACCACCACCGATGACATGAATGTCACCGGAGTTATCACCAGGTGGAGGTCCAACTTCGGTGGTAGTTGGGTAAGGCCCCGGGCTGTAGGTGTAAGTGATGTGGTGGGTGGGCTCAGTCAGAGTGACTGGAGGCGGAATGATGCTGGTCCGCACAGGCACAATCGTTGTGGTAGATTTGCTGACAATAATGTTGGAAACCTCGATCTGTGTAGTGGTGATAGGCGGCAGTGTGATCCGGACCGTGATGGTGGTTGTGCGATAGGTTGTGACACCATCAGTAGTTTCAGGCCAGGTTTCCTTGATAGTTTCGGTGATAACAGGGAAGCTGATGGTGGTCTTGGAAGAGAGCGGCCAAGGTGGAAGAACAAGTGTGCAAGGAGGACGGCAACTTGCGGTAGGCTCACTAGACTCCCAAATGGTCGGGTCAATGTAGACAACGCCATCACCATCTCCGCTGCCGCCTCCACTACCGTCGTCGCCACCCCCAGAACCGCCATCATCTCCATCACCACCTGAGCCGTTGGGCCAGCAACGGTTGTGCCAGAGATTGAGTCGACCGTTGTCAGGGTTGATGGAGACATAATCGGCGCGCTTGTCACCAGTCATCTGAGAAACAGTCAGTTAGCCAAATGGAAAGAACAATAGTAAATAAAGAGTGACTTGCCTCTGTGATTCTGATAGCAGATCCAATAGACCCAACACCGTCAGCGAAAGGGAGAGGTGTGTTCCATCGGATAGAACCATCTGAGTTGAATCCAAGGTGATGCCATGTTCTCGTCATGCCTGTAGTAGTACCAACAACGACATAGTCAAGTTTGCCGTCACCATTGGTGTCGGCGAACTGAACATTCTGTGCGCTGACGCCAACGGGTCCATCAGCAACTAGTTTCGGGTCACCCCATGATGGAGGATTAGTGCCCTTGTGCGGCCACATAATGACAGCTCCTGTGTCACTGATATAGAGGTAGTCATCAAGACCGTCGCTGTTCAAACTGTCAAGAAACTCTTGTTAGCTGACAGACAATAGAAAGGTAGATGGGGGAGTTCCAGACTTACTCGGCAAAACGAACATTCTTCCCCTTAAAGTTGAACCCAAACCGGTTCTCAACGGTATCTTTGGGTCCCGCAGCAAACTCTCCACGAGCGTTCCAACCCCAGCCGCCGTCAGGACCAAGATTCTCAAACCAGTCAGCTCTTCCAGTTTTTGGGTCAACAACGACATAGTCAGCTCGACCACTCGTGGTGAGAACAGCCATGTGTATCTGCTCTCTGGGATGATCTCCCTTGGCGATCATTCCGAGGTCGGTCCACTTGTTCTCGCCTTTTCCTACGTTGAGGTAGCCATAACCCTTGCCCGTGTGATCGATCCAGAAGTAGTCGCTAGTGTTGTCGCCATCCACTAGCACCCAGAGTCAGCAATGGTTTCGACAGGAGATTGGAAAGATCAGTGCCACTTACAATCGCAGAGAAATACGCCATCACCTGGCTGCCACTTTCCACCAGTTCCAAGGTTCTCCCACAGCGTGACTTCGCCAGTCTTCTCATCGACAAGCAGGTAGTCAACCTTGCCGTCACCCGTCATGTCAACCAGACGGACTTGATTCGACTTGGCACCATCCGGCCCAGCAGCAACGTTGAACATCTGTGACCATTGGGGCACCAGACTCGTTTCTTGTCTCCGGTTGATGAGCCCATTGACTTTACCACCGACGCCGACCATCATGTAGTCAGCTCTGCCTTCACCTGTCAAGTCTCCGAGGATGACGACATCTCCGTCTGACTGAGACGCTCCGGTAGCAATGACGCCGATCTTGTGATAGTCAGGCATGGACCCGCCACCAGTGTTAAGCCAGGCCGTAACTTCTCCGGTCTTTCTGCTAACGATAAGAAAGTCATCTCTTCCATCACCTACGGCATCATTAGTACAAGTCCCTTCTGTGAAAACAATAGGTTGCTTACCGTCAATATCGACCATCTGAAGTGTCTCGTTAGTTGCACCAACACCCCCAGCAATACGGCCAAGACTCTGCCACTGCCAGACGCCATCTTTCTCAAGACGGTTGATCCAACCGTGAACGTCTCCCGTGTCAGGGTCAACCCAGATGTAGTCGTCTCGGCCATCGCCATTCAGACTAGGCAGGTTAGCCAAGCGCAAGCCAAGATAGAAAAGAGAAGTACTCACTCGGCAAACATGACGCCCCATCCATCTCGGGGCTCGGTTGGGTTGACAACAGTTCTGGGTACTTTCCAGTTTCCAGATGTTTTGCCATCAGCGTCAGGAATGTTGATATTCACCTTGACTGCTCCTGTCTTGGGATCAACACAGGCGTAATCCTTCAGACCATCACCGTCGAGGTCCATGAAGTGAAGTCGAGCACGAGGGCAATTGCCCTCAGCAACGACGCCTCTCTTGTTCCAAGCGGGCACAAAGGGGCCATCAGAGTCAGCACTAAGAAAGTAAGTGTTAGCGTCATGTTTTCATCTCGGACAAGTAAGGGAATAGGGCAACATACACCTTTGCGCCGGTGGCAATCATACCAACGTTGTACCAAGACGGCGTCGACTTGCAGTTCTCAGGACTGGTAGAATCCGGAACAGGCGTCTTCTTGCCCGGTGGGGAGATCCAACCTCGGTCGTCCGCATATTCGATGCCGGAATAGAACAGGTCAGCCATTTTCGCATACCCACCATCGTTAGGATGAAGACCATCAGCCAAGTCGTTGACAGTAATTCCATGGTTCATCCCAACCGGGCGCATCTTCTTTCCACGGAGGATGTACTCGGCTACTATGACGGGGATAGCTTCGTTGAATTCGTTAATGCGTGGGACTGTGGCAGGGTACCTATCAGGGCCTGCCGGGATGAGGTTACACAAGAGAATGACAGCATCAGGAGAAAACTCGTAAATCTCATCAATCAACTTCTTGAGACGTGATGGCGCGAGGGCGGGATTGATGTCGTTCTTCATGTCGTTGGTTCCGGCATGAAGTAGAACGATGTTGGCACCCGCGTGAATGCCGACACCACTGGCTTGGCGGATCTCATCGATCACGTAGCCTCGATGGCCTTCGTGGTTCTTGTCGGCCATTGTGCCCGTGCTCATGCCGCCGACAAAGTCAACATTGTTGCCTCGTGCAGCGAGCTTGTCAAAGAGCTTCTTGCGGTAGCCATTCTCGTCTGAACTCTCAGCACCCCAGGTTATGGAACTAAAAGATGTCAGAAATGTACACAAAGGCTCGAGGAAAGGGATGTATGAGAAAGCAAGGTGTAATTATTACACCTGCTGCGTAAGAAGTAGAAAAAAGGCAAGACATACTCTCCTATGGGAAGAACTCTCAGATCATAACCACCAGCAATAGGAGCTCGAGGCTTCAGATTCGTAGTTGGGGTAGCAGCATTTGCAGGCGGTACCCAAAAGCTAGACAAAAGTACAATTGCCGTCAAAGTGGTCCAGACATCCCACCATCGGGTGGTCAGGGCACTTGGCACCATGTTGACTGTCTGTACTCTGACTTTGTCTTAGAAGCCCTTGCGCCACTGTACACAACCGGATGCCATGAGAAGATATCCTTCTTACCAACCCCTGCCACGATCCTCTTCGAACACGAGTGACATACCCAGCATGGTCCCGCTCTCACGGCCCGGGCAGCGTGGGATCATGAACTCTTGGCATGACAGCGTTATCACGCACCAAGCCTAATTAAACATTACTACAAAAAAGAAAGCCGCGTCTAGAGCGGCAGGGGGCGGCTGCAGCTTCTCGAGCGTCTAAATCAACCGACATGTGCATATTAGCTCGGCTGTGCTGGCATATCGCTAGGTCTAGATTGTGTAAACGCCGATTAGCACCGGTCCGATAGCCGTCGGAGGGTCCATTGCCGCAGCTTTTACCTTTGATGTGTGATTGAGCTAGCAGGGGGTTTCGGCGGCAGCTGAAAGAGGATACCTGTGCGAAAATGTCCCCCCTGCGTGATGGAACCAAAGTTTAAGGGTTGGATGAGTCTGCGTTTACCAATGTCAGAGCAACCAACAATAGGTAGGAATGAGGGAATATGTTGCCTGTTAATCCAATCATGAGTTTTGCACTGCCCTTGCGGCCGACCCATGATCGCGTGTACCGGCACCTTTGTCCGGTCAGGTTAGTATTCCGTAACCGGAGAAGCGCCTTTCAGAAGAGTGCCTCGGAACGTTAATAATAACCGCGGTAGAGTGCTTGGAATAGTCTAGCCCTTTAGCCCTGGTAACTCGAGTGTCTATCTCCGATACCCTTGATAGATAGCAATTGGGGGCGGCAGGGTTGCATTTGGGACATTCCAGATGGAGAACTCCGGTTGATCCGGAAGAGGTTATCCTGAAATCTCTATCTAATAGTTATGTATGAAATAGAGAGCTAAAATAGTTTCATATAGCTAAATTTGCCAAACACCCGCGGTTAAGATTAGTAGCATGTTCCCAAGACATGAACAAGAGATATTCATAGCCGCGGCATAAATGTTAGATCTTTCTTCCTAGACGCACGCGCTTATGTAGGGCGGGAAAAATCCCGCAATGCAGGTCGGAATTGTGAGAAGAGAGCGAATTCTAAAACTACCGAAACTCCATATCTCGCCCCCAGCCTCATGCCCGATGAACTTTCGGCCCCGAAAGGATCCAATGGGCTAAATCAGCCTAGAGAACAGATCATGAGATATCATCACTCGGTCCATCCGGACTTGGATCCCCAGTCTCATATGCACTGATCTTGGCGTTGGTTGGTTCGTTCAAAAGTGTTGTTGGTTCTAACATTTTAAAGGATGATACCACCCTACTAGTCCCATCCATTAAGCATACTACGTAGCACCATGCGGTCAGATAATCTTCAACGGCCGGCAACATCCGTCTTCTGTGATCCCACGAAGCGGCCTGTTGATGGAACTTTTTTCTCTAGTTTAACCCATGACCAATCGGGGCAACATGCATGCAGGGTCCCCGGTCATCACATCATGGTCATCTAGGCCCTCTTTTTTCACTGGGGGATTCAACCCTAGCAATCTGGCTGAGGAAGAGGAGTGCAACTCGGCCGCTCACATGAACGCTCAATTCATATCGGACGGCTTGAGGACTCGCCCACGTCAAAAGGGATACCAGCTGCTCTGCCACCTTTCTTACACATTCCACACAAACAATACCTTGAATATTCATCTTTTTTTCAAGATGGGTACAAGGCCTCAGTCCTCTTGGAGGTCACTCCTCTCCTTCTTTTCCGTTGCCCTCTTTTCCCTTCTTCTACTTCTCTACCTTGGCCCATCTCGAAACTCTGGCCAGGACCTTCGCGTCCCAGTCACAGAGAGAGACCTCCATGACGATGCAGTCACAAATCTCACCAAGCGGGCAACTGCTACCTATCAAGCAGCTAGTGAGAAGGGAGCCAAGCTGCATTGCCTGTTAGCCATGTCCAAGGAAGATGTCGAAGCGGCCGACGGCGGAAAGTATAAAGAGCCTGCCAAGTGGCTGCAAAAATGGGGAATTGAAGACTCGCAGGGTTGGGTCACAGAAGCGGAAGAAGGGGAAGAAGGGGCAGACAAAAACGCTCCGTACTGGGGAGACTACTTGGATGCTGCGTTTTCCAGTCTCGACATTTCCAAAAGCGACGCCCATAATGTCCACTGGATTCACCTCTCCGACGCCGAGATTTTTCCGGATCCTGAAGAGTTTGAAGGGACCGCGGAGCAGGGCGTGGTAAGTTGCTAGAGTTTCATCAGCTTTAATCATTGCAACAGGTCCGCGACAGTGATGAACAGCGCTAATCCGGAACCGTTCTATTCACAGAGATCGGGGGCTTATTTTACCAACTCATACATTCTAGACCCTGGCGTCATCATCGCGGACAACAACTACGCTGTCGTGCCTGCATTGAATGACAACTTTCCTGGCTGGGAGAAGATTTTCACAACTACCCACATTCAACGAGTAAGTCCCGGGACCAAATCCAACACTGATAATATCTGTATGACTGACTTCAAGTCCCAGTGGAGCGACGCGGCATGGATGCAATGGGTGAGTTGGCCTCGTTTCCTCTGGATCAACTCCCTTGCCTCACTTGAACTCGCTAACCTCCATACTTGGACGCCCATAGACGAAAACATGTGACTGGTTTGGTGGTGACAGAACAAAGATAAAGTACATTATTCGGTCCCGCATCACCAACAAGACGACTCTATCCCTCATCTTTGAGGCTCTCATTAGCAAGTATGGTGGATTCCCGACAATTGGCAAATGGGATGATCGCTTGACTCTCGACGTGGCAACCAACCCAGGCGAGTTTCACGCTGTCCTTGCAAGTCCCAACGGAGCAGGAGTGGCCTATATCCTCATGAACCACAAGAGTACGCTGGGTATCAAGACTGTCAACAAGGTGGAGATCTTCGTCCCCAACATCCCTTACACCGTCGTTGGGACCTCGGTTGATGATCCCCTTGTCCAAAGAGCCAAGATTATGCTCCTATTTACTGTCATCTCTGTATAATATATTGGCTAGTTCTGGGCAGCATTTGGTAAGGTTTTCTATGGGGAGGGGGATCGGGATGTTCGGAGCATGTTCCCAAGACTATGTAGATAGTAGCAAACCCTTCCGAACACAAATAATCATTCAGAGGAATCAAGGAACATGTGATCAAAAGCCTACATATTTTTTCATCTACCAATACCTTATCTGCCAAGTAAAATGACGGCCCGATGTTTCTTTTGGTGGCACCGCCCAAACCAAGACCCATGGACACTACTATCGTGGGCTGACCTTCAACTATAGAAAACAACACAATAAGAAGAAATTGCAAATGAGTGTGTACTTGAAATTCAGACAAAGAGTCAGTGTGTTGACAAATTTGCCTCCTACAAACAAATCTAGCTGTCACTGGCGTCCGAATGATAAGAGTACCTCTGCTGGGCACGCCCCGCGGCCAGCGTTGCGTTATACTTGGCCATCGATCTCCACCAATCCTCTCTATGTGCATTCTTGACACTCATAACTTCTTCCGGTGGCAAGATACTTTCCCATGCATAATAGTAAAAGTCCAGCTGGAAGTGAAGTTTTTTGGGAGCTAGACCCAAGAGGTGCATCCTCCACCGATCCCAAAAGGCAAAGCCAAGTGGACGAAAAGAGTCAAATTCTACACCATAAAGTGGCGACGCTTGAGGACCGACTTCGTTGGTTGAAAGATCTCTGAAAAAGTCGACGCCATAAGATCTGTCGTTCAAAGCCGTATCTGTCTTGCCCCAGCTATGGTCTTTGCTGTACTTTGGAGCTTTCCAGGGTTTGGCACCCGCTGGTAGAGAAGAACCTGGATGCAAACGATGGAACTCTCTGTTCAAAACATAGCCACGCACAACCCAGGTAGTATTCTCTGGAATTGGCAAGGCCGTTGTCCATCTCGTAACAGGCGAAGCTGGAGGTGGCCGGGGCAAACGGTGATACACGTCGTGTGTCACCTCCCCAAGTGTCTTCAGATATTCTTCGGCTGACGTGATCTCTTGTCCATCATAGTCGGCGCGGTATACACGAAAGAATTTTGCCAGATCCAGTTTGTTTAAGCGGTCGATATCTTTATCTGGCCAGTCGATCATGTCCGCCTTGTTTGAAGAGAGGCGACGCATTTCGCCCACCATTTGTATGACCCAGATAGCGCGAACTGCCCGCATCTCTTCTACCCAGGTGGGTTGCCCCGCGTCAACCATCTTGGCGGGTGTACCGGGATATTTACGATCAAAGGCGGGAACTATCTTGTTCGGACGGTCATAATCATCTGTGTAGCAAATTTTGGGATCGATAGGGTGCATAACCCGGAGAGCTCTCGTGCGTTCTAAGCATGATGCTAAACATGCCTGCGATAAAGCAGAGATTTGGTATGCAGTCGCGACGACGGACCGAAGCACGGCTACCGGTGGGTTTGAGACTGATAAAGTTCCAGGCCCGAGAGTTATGAGCTCTGTTTCCTTTGCCATGGAAGGATCAAAGAGTCCAAACATGTGACGGACTTGAAAGTCGTTCAGATTCTTAAAAGGAAGGGATTTGGATCGCGCAAGAATAACTCCGCGAACGAGTTCTTGGACATTTGATGGCAGTATGGAGTTCGGGCCGGAAAGTATTCCTTCAGTGATGGTGTTCGCATGGCAGTTGAAAAGACGGAGCGTGTTTGGCGATGCCCTCATTAGGTTCCAGAGTGTGTCGAGGCCAGGTAGACTGCTGACGAGGGGGAGGAGAAGCTCAGGTGGTAGTCGCTCGATTGAGGCCGGTTCGTTGGGCCAACCATGCCAAGGCGCGGCCGGTTGAGTCATCATGTGCACATAGAAGGCCAACCGTATTAGGAAGACGTTTTATATGGGAGGACTTGGGTGTTGAGCGATTTCATGCGAGAAGGATGTGATGCGACGTCGTCTATCTGTTGGCTCTGGGCTGTTTCCACGTGATACGCGAATGACATAAGCCCTCCTCGATATTGGCCAATCACAAGCCCAAGATTGATAGTCTAACCCAGGCAGCCGATAAGACCGAGCTGTACTTCTTAGGTTTGCTAGAAATGGCCAGAATACAGAGGCATTTTGCTTCTTAAGCTCGCGTACTCTGAGTCGTTTTCGGGATTTCATCCCTCATACACGAACTTCTATAGAGAGCCACCACATTGCAGATCCGAGCACGAATCCTTGGTCTTCAAATGATAGACCCTGACAAGTTCCTCAGCACAATACGCCAGAGAGGCATCGTCCATGCCTTTGTAAAAACCCACTGTGGATGACTGATCAATGATGGCATCAAAATAGTAGCCCGGGGCAGTCTCAAAACTCCTTCTGTAGTCATCAGGCGGAAACATGACGGCAAACTTGTGCTCTCCTTTACCCCCAACCTTGACGTTGACATGAGATCCCTTTGCAGTGTCATAGTCCCAGCGGATCTCCCAGTAGTCACCTGGAGCGATCGAGATGGTGGCCTTTGTTCCGGTTTTGCCATTCGTGGCTACGCATTGGGCATATGTAGTTGCCTTGCCCGACACTCCCGTAACATATTCGCCCTCGAAACTGCCATCATTAGTATGAGCCTGGGCTGTTTGAACAAGGAATGGGAATTCTCATGACGTACCTCGCCCATCCTCTCTGCGCCAGACTGGGACCTCTCCATTTGTGGCTGCCTGGGAAACTTGCTCAAGATGACCTCCTTGTCTTGAGCATTTTCAAGCACTTCCCATTTGCCAAGTGGAGAGCGTCATGCAGCAAGTGCTGGCTGTAAACCTCTACCTCAGGCTGAGGCATTTTGATAGAATTGGTGGTAAGACAAGTATATGTATGAGGAGTATAGATAAAATCGTTTCTAGAGAGAACTTGAGGGGTTTATATATCTGGTAGAAGACTTTGTGCCTCAGGCTATCTTTGAGCTATCTCGGAGCCTGATGCTGCGCATTGCATAGGTGGCTGAAATCACTGGAGCCCAATATTGCACTTTCGTCTCAGCTGCATACTAACACCAGTCTTGGCGACAGTATCAAGTATAGAATACTTTTTCAACACAATTTCGCCTTAAAAAATGGCATAGAGACCCAGTTGCAGATCCTGACGCTATTCTAATGCTCGCGAGATTAGGATGGGTTTCCCCTCGGAATTCGGGTGGCCTCAGTCACGACCCTAACTATTGCCCCTAAACCCGTTCGTAGCTCTTGCCCCTAGCGAGAATTCTGTCAAGGTACTTGTCTGCCTTTTGTTAGTTTCATTCAAGTTCTTGGACCTGGGACATACATCCGACCGTCCACCTCTGAGCAAACATCCGCAGTGTCGGAACAAGTTGATCAATCTCATCGCAAGTAGGGGCACTTTCTGTATCATTTACCAGTGCAGATACACAGTGAAAGACGCAAAAGATACTAATCAACGACAGTCGAGTTACATCAGCACCTTTGTTGCTGTCGAGGGATTCTCTGCATGTGTCCCAAACCATGCGACGACAGGCCTGTAGCGCTAGGTACGCTTTAGAACCAGGCTGAGTATTGAGTTCTCTCACACGCTCTTGACGGATGATGAAAAGGCAGCTAGATATAGATCAGTGTTAATGGGCGCATTCCAAAGTCGAGATTAGTACATCTTACCAGAGTGCCAGAGTCGTAGGATCGCAGTATGATCCAGAATAACTGTCCTTGTGGGAGAGCAGATGATCCAGCATACTTTCAAGGTCACTGTCAATTAAATCATAGTCTTCTTTCATTCTGATGCCCACCTTCGAGCCTTGCAAATGCTCTAGTGCTCGTCCAGAGAGAAATACAACCTGGCCCATTGAACGAATTCTCTGAGAGATTGGGCCAAGTGGAAATGGCTCCGTTCTTGGAGAATCAATCTGACCAGCGACCCGAGCACTGATGACACTTGAGGTTGGGCGGATCAGTGGCAAGCTGTCGTCGATAGTCAAAAGCGAAATTAATCTGGTTCGTTCTCCTCAGCATCTGAGCCATATCCGAGCGCACAATTCACCTACCGATCAAGTATCATCAAACACACTTCTAAGTGCATTTGCTCCTCCGTGCTCTCCGCGTTACCGCCAAGCAGACTCATCATGGCTACTGTTGAACTCAAAGTCAAATATGCTTGCCTTGCTAGCCCGTGGCCGCACTCATATAGGACGATGAGAGATTTTGCTTGAGCCAGAGGTATCCCGATCTCATTTTGCGATTCCAAGGCCGTACAAAGGCACTGAAGAGTCGTGTATAATCTTTTCTGCCTAAAGTGCTCCATATGACCACGCGTTGGAGTGGCAACGAGTAGTATAGCCAAACATAGACAGGTTGTCGATGTGTCCGTGCTGGGCGTTGATGGGTTGTAAATACGGGGTCGTAACTGACCAATGTTGACGATGGGAAACCAGTTATGGATTGAACGCGTGTAGTCTTCGATAAGAATATGAGGCGTGAGGTTGACTTCAGAGAGAATGTTGCCCAATTTGTTACTAGGCCTGTTTTCAGTGTTGGAGTGTTGATCAGCCGGGCCGTTCATGGCGAGCTTCATGAGTTCGCTCTGCCCAAAAGCCGACAGGTCCCAGCCGCAGGACCCAAACTCAACATACGATCCGGTTGCCTCCATACAGGAATGACCGTTTGGGGTCGTGGAGTAGTCACATCGCACCAACTTCCTATCTCTTTGTTAACACGCCAGGTACACAGGAATGGTAGAGCTTACAGGGTACATCGAGAGCATCCCGGTAACAACCGGTCGCACCGCTGTTTGCGGACGCGACATCGGGTGCAAGTACGAGATGCCTTCTCGACGAGTTGGACAGGAGCTGTCATTACGGAATTTCGGATATTGAAAGAGGATGTTTCATGCATCGGCCGATGCAGATGGAAGCATACGTTGATCAAGCAGGGTGCATGGCGTTGATGCTGACAAACGTGTGGCGTCTGAGTTCATCTTGTAGCCAATGACGTGAATATCTAGCAGGACAGGGGGGCGGCCGATGCATGAATTAGCGCCGATTTGATCATTGTCGTGATCCACAAACAAGGACACAGATGAGTCGGTGCAAGATGTCAAAGTATGTAGGCCTGTGGCGTATAAATACGGCATCTTCTAAACTATAACAGCGAGTCTAAGATCAAGTTCTAGCTCACCAAGCTTCAGAACCAGTCAATCATCAACCTACCCTATAGACTACCACACGTCAACCAGCGTTATCATGTCACCCTTCAAGAACATCGCTATCCTTGGTGTAAGTCTTTTGGCCTGATATATAAAGTCCCGATTTGACAGAAAACTAGGGAACCGGATCCCTAGGGGAGGTTCTCATCCCCGCCCTGCTCAACGCCGACTTCAACGTCACCTGTATTACCCGTCCGGGCAGCTCAGCTATTCTCCCAGCCAATGTCACCAAGAAGGCAGCCGAGTACACAGACTCGGAGGCCGTTACCGATGCTCTCAGAAACCAGGATGTTCTCGTTGAGGCCTTCAATCCTGCAGCCGCCGTTCATCAGGGGCTAATTGTCCGCTCGGCTCTCAAAGCCGGCATCAAGCACATCATCACCCCCGACTTTAGTGGTGACACTTTCCATCCTCTCATTGGAGAGCTTCTCATATTTGAGCCCAAGCTACGCGCCAAGCGCGAGTTTGAAAAGATCATTGCTGAGTCCGAGGGTCGACTGTCTTGGACGTCTATCATTGTCGGGCCATGGTTCGACTGGACTATTGAAACTAGTATCTTCTGGATCAACAAGGAGCAGAAAAGGATTTTCCGCTATGGCTCTGGGGACCAGAAGTACAGCATGAGTAGACGGGCTCTCAATGCTGAAGCCCTGGTTGCGGTCTTGCAAAATCCGGACAAGTATCGGAACCGGCCTGCGTACTTTGCAAGTCACACCGTCTCAACCAACGAACTCATTGATATCATCAAGGACTTGGGTCTTGAAGGGTGGTCGGTCACAAATTTGCCGATTGGGGGACTCTACCAAGAGGCGCTCAAGCTCTGGGAGGAGGACACGGCGAATGGGCTTGAGAATAGGCTCGGCTCCAAGGCATATCCGATGCTTTCGACTGTGGCTCTTCTGGATGAAAACAACCGTTATGGGTCCAACTTTAGTGACAAGGTTGAACCTGGGTGGGATGAGGGAGAAGATGCTTTGAAGGAGTCACTTAAGAAGCTGCTTGCATAGAGTTGGCCTCTAGGATTGTGGGTATTCTAGCTGGGTGGAACCGGGTGGTGAGGTGTTAGTGGTAAGTTTACCAATGAGGTCCATAGGGTCATTTACGTCTTGTTTGAGAATCCAACGTCAGCTAGATCCCGTGGAAACGTGACCTCGGCGAGTGTTTTGATTCGGAACGGCCGATTTGATGATGAACGAGGATCTATGGATGTTAGGCTTGGAGAAGGGGTCCACTCAAACCGCAACTCACACGTCGTCTCGCTGCCCTCAGTGATGCGATTCAATGAAACGCCTTTAAGAGACCGTTCCTCAAATCGAGCAAGAAACGTGCTAGCACCGGAGGTGACTGGCCTTGCCCGTGATGGTGTTGGTCTCTCCACGCTGCATGCTGGGTACGACGCTCTCTTGTCGACCGTGCCGTATGTCTCCTTGATAGCCTTTGATGAGAGCTCTGACTGCTGGTAGGTGCACTACGAATTCGATTGTAGGAAAGTCTAGATACCTTGAGATACTTGCACCTTGCACCCATAATGGATCTCGTCATTGGAATCATGCTCTCCGGGGTAGGGTTCCTAACCGTCCATAAGAGAAGGGAGGTAATCGTTGACGCGTGGCGATTCCGACCCACCAGCATCATCCTCACTTTCTGAATCTTGACTGTCTGCGTCGCTTTCTAGGTCTCGGAAGATGAATTGGTAATTTATAAGTATTAAAATGGGGGAACTTGCCTTCCTGGACCAAAACAACCACACCCACACCCACAGGCTTGTAGGGTAGCTAGGATAACAGCTTGTCGTAATCCAGCTAAAATCGGGTCTTCCAACTGGAATTGCCCAACACCCTGATCTGCAGAATATAAGCCAGTGTGATCATATCCCTATCAACAGACAATACTCAGACTTGGGGAGAAAAGAATAAAATTGATGGCTGCAGAGGCAGCTGGCGCTGGGGCCCAATAATCTAAGGAAAAACTGGCAAGACGGCAAAAACTGACGATCGCCCTAAATGACTGTGAGGGATATCAGGCCCTTATAAACCTCACGGTCCAGCCAAGCTAAGGTCCTTTGTCACAGTGCCTCGAATGTCACTATGGTCCAACACAGTATGTAAGTAGAAGTATGTAAATGCTAACAGAACACAAATCCTCTTTCAAAACTTCACCTGAAGAACGCAAGTGTCCGTTGCTCTTAAGCATAGATCAACGGAATAGTCTCCCCAACGTTGAGCTCAAAGCCCAGGACCGATATATTGGCGATTAGTTCTGCTGTGTTCTTGGCGATTTCCTGAGTCAGAGGATCCAGCACTTGCGTGAAGTAGGCCTTGGCGTCTGCGATGATGTCCTCTCGAGATGGTGCTGAGGCGTGATTGATGCTCTTCTTGCCTCCGTGCAGGGCAGCCAAGGGGAAGAGGCTGAGCCGAGTGGCCAAGTTCTCAATGTATTCGTACAGATCGGCAGAGGTGTCGAACGCCTTGTTGATCCAGCCAATCTTCTCAGCGTCAGTGGCCGATATGTCCTTGGAGCTTAGAATATACTCCATTGCGAGACCCCTACCGATCAAGCCTGGGAGAAACTGGCTGCCACCACCGCCTGGGAACAAACCAAGGCCCACTTCTTGCTGGCCGAAAACTGTATCCGTCTTGGTTGCGAACCGCATATCCAAGGCGACAAGGAGTTCATTACCCGCGCCTCGAGCTCGACCTTCCACAGCACCAATGGTGACCTGGGGTAGTGTCGAGATGTTGTAGATGAGCGTTCCAAACGTGTCGGCAAACGCGGCTAGCAATTCAAAGTCAGCACAATATCTTGAGGGACTTGATCAGGTTGAAGAGCGGCAAAGGCACGTACGGTCAGCCAGACTGGGCATGGTGGTGTCCATATGCGCGATGAAGAATCTTGGAACATCGCTATTGAAGATGACAACCTTGGTTTCCTCGTCCTTTTGCAGTCGGGACACGAGATCGGTGAGGTCGTCCTGGGTATCTTGATTCCATAAGTTGACAGGAGAGGACGGGTTGTGAAAGGTGACTTGAAGAATGCTCGAGTTGAGGGATGTCTTGAGGCCCTTGTACTGTGGAAGGGACAGGGACATGACAGGAGAGATGAGACTGGCGGCGGAAGCCACGGCGTAAGGCTTGGACAAGAGCATGATGGCAATGCGTAGTAGAGATAGGACAGAGTAGGTTAGAGTATAAACCGATGAGAGAGTGTGAATTGACTTCCGGGAGATATCATCCTCTTAATATATAGTTACAATGGTGACTTTTGTTAGTGGAATTGGCAACTTGAAATTACATGGGGAGCATGGAGCCGAAGCAGCCGCCGAGACATGGTGACTATGCAAAGACTTGGCTGGTGGAAGTTGCCGGATACAAAGTAAAGTTTGATTTGGTTTGTAAGCCAACTCTATCAAGGACTTCTTTGTCAAACTTCCGATGCGGATCGGGCATCCCTCGTGGCGGAGATGCGGTAGCGGAGGTACGACGGAGTTTGCTCTTGCTACTACCAGTCAGGTTTTACCGAGGGAGAAGAGGGAGCATGCCAGATTAAAGGTGGACAGCGCACTTGGATACATACTAAAGTTCGGCCAACCTAGAGCGTCTCAAGCATCTCATACTCAGGCGGTTCAGGGTCATTGTATGGACACGACAAGTCGCAGCTTGATGATGACTTTGCCTTCGGCTTGAGGTAGCTACCCGTCGACAACTCAATGAGTCTTGATTCATTCTAAATTCTTTACTACATTATATAGCGAACCTGAAGTCAAATGCGAGCCCTCAAAGCCAACATCCTGCCCTGGTTTCTCTGGGTGTGGGCAACCGTTGGAGGGAAATTTAACTACCAACTGATACTCTCTCTCTAAGAAGTCACAATGTGGCTTTCATGGGGTTTTCAGCCGCTTCTCGGCCACTTCGTTTTGGTTCACCTACAAACTGTTCAGCAGGTTTTGACCTTGAGTAGTATACGGAAATTCATACTAGCTATAGCGTAGCTCTATATCTTTACCAAAGGAAAACGAAAACAAGTCGACATTCTACCTAGCCCTGTTAGGCCATCTAGAGTCTTAGAATGACATGTGAAACGCGCAATATTATCAGTATAGTTGGGCTCCTGCGACCATCTCCTAATCCCACCACGTCTTCCACTCAGAGTGTGCCCATTTAGGCGATCTGCTTTCCATACCACATCTGACACAGTTAGTTCAGCAGTAACACAGAGAGGTGGGGGATATTCGACTCACGGTCTCTGCCCAGCACCGATTACGACGTTTCCTACCTTTTTTAACAACCAGGGTGGTTCGATTAGACGGGCATATACCTCGGTATCCTTTTCTTCGACAGCAGCGTTTAGGATGGTGTTCGTCGGGAGGAGGAGGACGATGACGACGACAGTCCGCAGAAGCCATCGAGAAGCAAGGGCTATTCTAGCGGGGGGTGATAGCGGGGGTGGCACCGGGGAAACCGGGACGGGATCGGGTGTTGAGTCCATCCGCGCGGGAAGAGTCCTCCGTTCTTCGTATGGCCACAGCCCATTCATGCTTGCTCACCTCGCTATAAAAAAAAATGCCAAAAAGTTAAATAAAACGCCGCGGCCTAATAACCTTCGTCTTGTTTAAAATTAAAAGCCCGTGTCCCTTTTTTAACTTTTTTAGGCACCCGCCAGTGGCTATCCAGCTGTTACCGTCGCCCGCATTACGCCGATTGAGTCGGACGTGTGATGTAACGGCCCCGAGCCTGGTCGATTAATGATCCACAACCCTCACGTCGAGGAGATGAGCTCCATCTTGGTCAGCTTCGTCGACTGAGGTCGTTAACAAGCAGCCGAACTTGGTTGGGAGCTTGCGTCGGTCTATGGCATGCATTCTAGCCTTGGCACATGAAGTCGTTGGACCAGACGACGAGGAAGATGCATCGTGTACACCATCTGTGACAACAGCTGTTAAGCCAACACTAACCTCTATATCAATCTCAACTACCAAACTGCTGGTAGGCATCCCCGAGAACGATACGCCAGGCCATTCCTCAACTTTACCCCCAGGCGACTCATCGACGTCAAGTCACTCCTCCGAAGATACCATGGACTGCGATACACAAACAGGAACCGATCCAGCCTACTGCGCCTCCCAATCAGCCCCCATCCTCGCCCTACCAGAACCACCGGGCACCGACTACCACATCCCTGATCAGCCTCCAGAGAATGCCATGGTCGCTGCTGTTCCACTACCTCCCCATCTACGGCAACGGCTGGACCATTGTTACGAGTAGGAAGATCAACCAGGATACGAAAGGGAAACGTCGGAGCTCGGAATGGAACAACCAGGTAAAAATACGAAGAAATATCAAAGTATAACATATACGTATCTATAATACATGCTTATTATATATGTTGGATTAATTAATAAATAAAATTTCTAATAACAAACAATAGTAACTCCCTCTTCTATAATATCCAGGTTATTAAACCTAGTAGTCTAAGGATGACAGTCTTACTCAGATGTTTTGTGTTACCCCGTGTTGAATGCTCTCCAGTATAGCCATTAGTTCCTTATGCACACGTGCCTGGGTCTCTGCACCCTCCTTGCTTCTAACAAAGGCGCTCGGCTCCCTAACTCTGCACTCGCTCATATACTTTCCGTGACTGTAATCTCCGGCAGCTGCACTGTGCACGAGTGTTCGCGAACCTTCCTCTGTCTTACGCGCAACGAGAGTTTTCGCGATGCTGAGAATGTAGCGAGGCAATCCCTTAATACTATGTCAGTTTCTACCAGCCAGTTCCAAGACGTGGTTTTAACTATACCTTAACATCCTTGTCCAACTCTGACTCACAAAGCCCAGGATGCACATTGTTCAAAATGATTGGCTGAGCGCTATGGGGGCCTTCATTCATTGCCGCGGCAACTGAACGGACAAGCATGACCTCGAGTAGTTTCGATACATTGTACCTATCGTTGAGCCATGCTGGCTCGTCCTTGTTCAAAGCATCGAAGATGGAAGGTTCAAATCTTTCGCGAAATTTCGCCTAGAATCTGTTAGACTTGAAAATGGCTGGAACATTTCCTCCAAGGGGTCTGTCGAGCGACCGAAAGAGAAAAGAAACCCACATTATAATGAACAGAAGAACTAGTAATGACTAGCCTTGGCGTTTGTCCAGTCTTGCCATATGACCTTCGAAGGATTGGAAACAAGTTTAGTGCCAGTAGGAATGTTCCGATGACATTGACCTTGATGCTGATCTCAGTTCCCTCACTCTCTTCATATGTATTCCTCAAAAGGCCGGCATTTTCCACCACGGCGTCGAGCCTTTCGAGCGAATTACATCTTGAGGCGAAGGCTTTGATCGAGTCGTATTTATCCATTTCCAACTGCCATACCTGGACGACGTTCTTTCGCTTCGTGGAAGCCTCGATAGAAGCTTTGGCCGCTTCGCCTCTTTCTAGCGACCTGACCGCGAGAATGACAACTTCTGCATCAAGTCGTACAAAATGCTTGGCGGCCTCCAATCCCAAGCCAGTGTTGGACCCCGTAACAATAACAGTCTGGCCTTGGAACGACGTGGTTGGGATAGGGATATGTTCCAATTGTCCTTTAAAGGCATCCATGGCTGCGGTATCGGATGTTTGGACTGGGGGCGATTGTTAAGAAAAAGAAAAAGAATAAAGAAGTGATCTGTAGGCTTGAGCTTTGTGTTCTACTGCATCTGTGACAACGTCTCTTGATTTGGAAAAGCTCTACTATAAGGACGCAACTTCTAATGTTTATATAATTAAAAGGTGGTTACCGGATTGCTAAGCAGCCCCGAATTACCGAGTGAGCATATGTACGATAGGGTCTCGGGACTAAAGCAGGGCAGGTTGCCTTTAGCCGCAACTTATTCCAGATCTCTAATCACCAGCGCCCACAAAACGACGGACTCGGGCTCGGCTCAATCACCTCACTGCATTTTAGCTTGGAACCTTATTCACGCCTTCGGTCCTCCTCTACGACACGAGACACAGCGGTAACACGTATCTAGTTAAGTGCCTTGAGATACCGTCTAATTACTCGCAGAGGGTTGGGGACAGCAGATAACAAAACCCTACAGGACTGACTAGTATAATATTCTTTTGTGTCTAATCGCATGATACCAATACCTCGCAGCGCTCAAAGAGACATAGCTCTCGTTCATGTATTATTATGTAATTAATGTTTAGTCGTCTCCCCTCCGAGGACACGGATGAAAACTACTCCGTCGGGACAACTAATACACACTCCCGCCTACACAATCGCCGCCTCTGTTCCGCAATACGCGTTTACTAAGAGATATTGGATTTTTCCCTTCAACTGTGGAAAGCCTCCGTCACGTACCTCGCCCCACAACCCCTGTCACATAACCAGTGCATGCGGGGAACCTAAGATACATCATCAATCATTCTCACCAAAATCATTCTATAAATCATTCTATAGCTATCAATAAGTTCTTGATCGATCCCTGCAGAGGCAGCCAATGCCCATAACGACCATAGCTTCATCAACTAAGACAACAGTCGCGAGCATGAGTGCGATAGCGCCCGGCGCGCCGGCAATCAACCAAGGGATGTGAGCAATGTGAAGTTGCACTTTGTAACTCGAAATATTGTTAGGACACAGGGGTCATTAATGGCACCAGTCAATTGATGAGAATTATCTAAGGAGCAGGAACTTAATGACAAGCTGCACTGAGTCGTGCAGCTCTTTGTACACAAATGAAAGCGTTGCCTGTTCTAGGCAGTAGCAGCTAGTCAAAGGGATAGTAACTTAGAATGCCAAGCGCCCTTCCAACTCATAACTCGTCTCTGCGAACCTGGTACCTTTTCAGGTTAGGAGTTTTGCTCCGTAATCTGAATGCCGCCACACCATGGCGAGGTACTCTGGCCCGTAGCTCATCTCGTGTCTTGACGCTTCCAATCTTTGTCCCGAAAAGTCTCTCGTCCCCCAGACGAAGCCCTTCAGAGTAGGGATTCGTAATCGATGTAGTCGGTCGCGGCATCTCTGCACGCGGAGCCGTGTGAGCGTTCGGGTCGATCCGGGGGTGCATCCTCGTGGACTGCGCGTTTCCAGAGATGCTGGCTGGCGTATCGACAAAGAGCTTGCGTCGGTATGCCCTGCAACTTGTTCTGCACCATCGTGTGACAAACATCAGCCCTACGACAATAATCGCAGATTCTTTCCAAGGAAAGCGTCAATTTTCGTATCAGAGCTCTGTCAGATCCCAAGACTTGTAGGCTGAGCCGATGCAGTTCCAGGACATGGGCATTGGAGAGACATGACTACTGCGCCTCGTAGGAGAATAAACAACGCCCAAATCTATGTATATAAACTGCATCAGTGACGTTCAAATTCCAAGCTTCATTACCCTCAACCTCGTTGACACAACCGACAAGCACCATGACACGGCTCTCCTACTGGCTTCTTGCACCAGTCTTCCTCCTCGGGCTAGCCCAGGCGAAACCCGTGGACAGCCATGTCAACGCTCGAGCAGACACGATCAAGTGGAAGAATTGTGTCCTCAACAAAAACCAGACTCTTCCCAGACAATGTGCCAAGCTCAAGGTACCCCTCGACTACACCGACCCAGACAACAAGAAGGAAGTCGCCCTCGACCTCACAAAGATCGAGGCCCTCAAGAAACCTTCAAAGGGCTCCATTCTCGTCAACTTTGGAGGTCCAGGAGAACCTGCTCGTGGCAGTTTCGCGTCGAACCAGATAGCCGTGATGTTGTTGGGTCTGACGGGAGGTGAATACGACCTCATCGGCTTTGATCCACGGTAAGATTAAATGTTGATATGTGGAAAACTACGGCGACTGATTTTGAACCCGGAATGCAGTGGAACTGGAGATACTCTCACCTTCTCATGCTTTGACACAGACTCGGAGAGGGCACTGTTCGGAAACGGCCCGGCAAAATACCGTCGCTGGCTCGTTTCCTCTCGCAAGAGGCCAAAACTGGGCCGCCAGTGGGATCTTTGCCGAGACACGCGCCCTCAAACAAAACAAGACCGGTCAATTCCTCGGAACCTCTTTCGTCGCGCGGGATATGATGCAGATCGTCGATGCCTTGGATGAGGACGGCATGCTGCGCTACTGGGGTACGTGTGCAGCCTCAAACTCTTGACAGTGTGCTAAATGTCTATAGGAATATCCTATGGCACCTATCTTGGCGCTGTGGCAGCCAACATGTTTCCTGACAAGATTGACAAGATGATGCTTGACGCTGTCGTTAATCCCTTTGACTGGCGCATCAACCAGTAAGAGCATTTTCTCCTCAATGAAAGCCCAGCTGACAATGTCCAGTGACTTCGAGTCTCTTACAGATACAGATGCGACCTTGAGCAGATTCTGTCAAGAATGCGTCGAAGCACGGGACGTCTGTCCCCTCGCCGGCAAACTCAACGCCAAAGACCTCGAGAAGAAGCTATACAAGTTCTTTGACGATCTTCGACTCGAGCCCATCGTGTTTCAGGGCGTAATACTCGACTACAAGTCGATCAAGGCGCTGCTGTATGGGAACCTCAAATATCCCGAAACTTGGCAGATGATGTCGAGGATCCTTGATGCCATGATGAAGCGAGACTCGAAGCTGCTTGAGGCACTAGGGGGCGACGGTGGCGGTGGCGGTAGCAGCATGACCAAGGAGTCTCACTGGGGTATTCGCTGCAGCGACATGACCGGGCAGACTGACGATGTTCACGACGTCATACCTATATTGAACAAGCGGTGGGATACTAACAGGTTCGCCGCCGACGTTATTGAGGACGTCGTCATGCGATGCTCGAGGTGGAAGCTCCCAGCCAAAGAACGATACGAGGGTGACTTCAAGGCCAAGACGAAGAACTCAATACTCGTCATCGGACAGACTTCCGACCCGATTACTCCTATGGCGTCAGCCCGCAACCTGGCCGGGACTCTTGAGGGTAGCGTGCTGCTCGAGTTCGACATCCCCGGCGTAAGTGACCCCTGTGACCGTTTGTCGGTGAAAAGCTAACTTCGGCAGCATACTATTCTCCGCCGAAGCTCTGAATGTGTTATCAAAGCTACCGCTGCTTACTGGAGTGAGGGCAAGCTTCCTAAGAATAACACGGTCTGCAAGTCCGATGTTAAGCCTTTTTCAACCGAGACTGGCTGGGTCGAGATGATCAAGAAGCTTGGCATGGGCCCCAATCAGTAGAGGAACGGCTGTATAGAAGAGGACCATCGAAGAAGATCTGATATATGGGAGGGTTGATGGGTTCTGTTTTGTTGATTCAATATTGTTGAAACTGTCTTTACCACATACGTCCAAGGCAATAGATATACGCAAGCCTGCATACCACCCACTTTGACTCGACCACGACGACAGTGACGTGTTTGAAGCATACCGAGCACGCTGCTACAAGACTCAAAACTGAGTCCCCTCATGCAAAATCTCTCACCAAGGCCCTCATTACTCACCCTTGTCACCGCTGCCAAGAGCGGTTTGGTCCCCGGTACGAGGTGAGTCACCTGAGACCGCAAATGGCTATACGGGTAAGACGCATCCCACAGGATTGATGCTATACCCATTTAAGATTAAATGTACTTTTTGACAGATGCAGAGGAATTGAATACGGTAAGATGGTAAATAAGTTGGTGCGGGCTTCGGCGTCTGTCACCGACGCCGAGTCAACGTGACTCAGGCACGCAGCAAATCTTCGACATCGGCGTTTGTACATTATAAATCAATCTGGTAAAGAGTCACTGGCTTCATATTAAGAATGGTGTCTTTGCTCGATTCGGATGTCTCGGCATCAACCAGATCTCCTCAGTTCTACCCTCACAATGTCTCCCTGGAGCCCTCGGCGGCTGCTCTCAACAAGGCAGCCGAACCAAACACCGAGTCGGCGAACCAATCTGAAAATCGAACTCGAAACTTCCACTGCCATTCTTCACGGATATTCCAGCAATAGCAGCGGTGCCTACATCTCGGGGCGACTATTATTCAACACAGAGGAAGCTATACAGGTTGAAAGCCTTGATGTTACGCTCCAACTTCATGTTCGGTACAAACGTCCTCGGAAAAAGAATTGCGCCAGCTGTGCACAGAATTTGGTTCAAATATCCCAACAGAATGTTATATCCACCCCGACATCACTTCCTAAAGGACAACATCACTTCGACATGTCCTTCATCATCCCAGGCCACCTTCCCATCTCTATGGATACACCCCTTGCAACAGTAGAGTACGAAGTTTATGCCCAGGCTGCCTGCACAGAACGAGAACCAGTCGTGTCAAAAAAGGTCCTCAAGGTTGAGCGGATACTTGAAGCCGAATCTAATAAACAACTTCATACCTTCAACTTCAACTCCACCAACATGATAGCCACATTATGCCTCAACAGTGTCATTCGTCCTACTGGGACCAACTCAGTCTCACTTCGCATCGATAACATCACTTCAGGTCTTGCCATCGGACTTGAGGTGTGGAAACTTCAAAAGGTTACTTGGAAACTTGAAGAGTCTGTTTCTGTCGCTCTCCCAAACTGTCCTCGTCATCCAACAGCCTCAGGGACTAGTCAGGGAACCGACCCGAGTCAACAGTTAGAGACCCACCTGCTTGGAAAAAAGAGTCTTCGCCACGGATGGGAAGAACACGCAAACGAATCCCAACCTCACATTACCTTCGGCTTCGGCTACAGTCTCAACAGAGTTGGCTCCGAGGCTATCTATGCATGTGAGGAGAGCGCCGGCCCGCAAGTGACACACGCTCTCCTCGTCGAGCTTCACCTGGAGAAGCATTTTGTGCTGCCAGAGTCTCCCTGGATGACATCACCGCCAAGGGCTGAAACCACTCTGCGCATGACACGGCCTGTTGTTTTGACGGAGCTGGTTGAGCCGAGTGTTCCGCCAGCTTACGGTAACTCGGCCGATAGTCCACCCGAGTATGCCGATGTCGGCTGTTGAGAGCCAATCTTTCCTCGTGAGAGAGTGGTGGGTGGAATTGAAATGAGGAGAAGAATCTTGTAGAGATTGGTTCGTGTAGGAGCCTTTTGTCGTGATACCAGTGACTGATAACCAGTCTGCATGTGCGCAGCCTCGGCCCGATGGCCAAGCCGCAATAATCACCCAAAATACTAATTAAATTGACATTACTACCACTATTACATCTCTTCATTGCTCACTTTCATATCCCAGCTAATAGATTTGGAACGAATCCTGACGGCGCTGACTCGATTGCTTCAAACATGTCAGGGCAACCCCCACGTCATAATGGAATTTGGACTACAGGCGGATAAATGATTTTGTACACAGATCCTTTTCCTCGCTGTAAGACGTAATCGACTATTGAGTAATGCATGGAAATTGAGTCCTCAGGAGAGAAGGTTGGTCACGACCATGATGAGCTGTGCATCCACCACTGAGCCAGAAGATCGAAGAAATTCGTTGCCGCTCTTGAGACTCCCGAGCTCCTTTAGAACGAGGCTCTGCAGTCTACACCTCTAGCAGGCTTCGTGAAGCGGGGGGTCAACAAAAACATAGATAAAAGATTAGATTCCAGTCGCTTTCGTGCCTTGTACTTAGATATCGATCTTCGGGCTCAGTTACCCCATCGAGGGCCGGGCTGCAACTATAATAAACAACGGATTTGGTACTTGGATATCATATCAGCCGTTCATTCATCCTTGGAATCCCTCATTAGGCCAGAAAAATCCCGGAAAGTCTTGATCATTATTGGATGACTCAAGGAACTGAAGATCCAAATCAGACTGGGACAACAAGTCTTGAAACGAAGGCTCTGTCAGGGCCATCCTAGCTGTGTCCGTGGGTGCATCGAACATTCTCGGGTCGTGGAAAGAGAATGGCCCGCCACGCATGGCCATTGAATCAGTCTCTCGATTGTCCTGTCCTGACTGATTTCGCTCAGCAGCTATACTGTCAAGGGCCGCTCTGGTAGCTTCCATGCTCTTCAAGAACTCTCTCGCCGCGAAATTGCCACTCTCGTCTAACTGCTTGAGTATTTGCATCGCAGCATCAAAGTCGTCACTATCGCTTTGAGACTCATTTGTCTGAGATAGACTCGATATGGCGAGGACGATGGACGACGAGAATAGGTGGTGAACGTAGGAAACATCGAAAGTTGGGAAGGATCCGTTGATCCAAGACTCTACAAGGAGTCGACAAGAGCGTCGAGCACATTGAATGCAGGCATCCGAAAGAGTCAAAGCAACTTCGCCAATGGGAGGGTGGTCATCCTCAATTGACTTGCGAGCCTCTCGGTGCATACGAAAAACATACAGCACAATTGGTCTTGCTGCTCGTATTAGACACTAGTTGTGTTAGAAGCGCGTTGAACGGTGGGTATGTGTGACCCTACTGACCTGGTTGAAAGAGAGGTGCAAGGCTGTTATCGGTGCCGTCGCGTTAGGGGGAAGCTCCTCCATGGCGGCTCGGAGAGAGTCCGGCAGGGCTTGTAGCCAGCTAGTTAGGTCTCTCAGCGCTTGTTGTACTCTACTCGAGAAGGAGGTGCGCTGATTCTTCCGGCTGTAGATCAACGACGCAATCTGAGCAGCAAGATTAGTCAACCTGTGGTTGGCTGTCAGATACTCAGCGTCCGCAAAGTCCTCAGCCGCACTTTCAGGAGATAACCCCTCGATGGAAGGCGGGTCTACGTCGATGTCCTCGTCCCTGATAGAAACTGGCTGACCGATCTGAGCTCCCCAGAAGCGGTCAAGAGTATACACCGACCACCATATCCTCTTTCTGTGTTCTTGTTTCTCGCGGTCCGGCATCAGAGATAGGGGCACATTTTGGTGTAGGCCAATCATGGTGCTGAATTTGACAGCAGATCCAATCATGCAGTATGCGTTGTACCGTCGGTTCATAGCCAGAGAGTATAAAGACTTTCGAGTATTAGCATTGCAAACTGACAAGACCAAAAGTCTTACCAGCATCAAGATAACCTCAACGCAGTCGATCCGAGGTTGTTCAGTGAGAACCCGGAGGAACCGGCTTGCGCGTATATAATACGCGATACCAGGAAGTTGATTCTTGTCCTTGGTAGGCGATGTCCTCGTCGAGTAAACCTCGCCCAATGCAAACAGGACAAAGAGCTTGCACTCAGATACGAGATCACACATGTCAGGGTTATGAATAACTTGCTCCAGTAAACGTTGCGTAGCGCTCCTTCGAACGAGATAATAGCGCTTGCATACTGTATTCAGTGCCACTTTTAGCAAGAAGCGGGCTCTTGATGCAGGTGGCCATGGGCAAGGTGTGTTCCATGACGATGTCAATGCTTCATCAGTCACGTTTTCGGTGCGTGGAATATGTCGTTGCGATTTCCCAGAGAGTTCTTGACGGAATCTGGTAGCAAAAGGTGCATCTGCGGCTTCCTCGATAAGCATAGGCATTTCGGGGGTCAACGAGAAGAACCAAGGACGGTCCTCAAGAATCGGGTTCCGGATAGAGTCGTCGGTCTCTGGGGCAGGTCTCGTCTGGTCAACAACGACGGTCGCTTCAGGATTGGCTTGTAATATGCCCGTATCGGCGTTTATGACAGATGCGGCAGGAGATTCCTGGTTGACGGCATCGCCTTCTGAGACGAAAGACTGGGCTCTTGTCTCGTGACGCCGAGACGGTGTTGAGTTGGCAGCTTCGGGGGTGTGAACAGCCTTTCTAAGGCTATGAATCTCGTCTAGTAGTTCATCGATATAACTAGGCCATGATTAGTAGTTATCCTAAAGGACTGATGACTTGCTTTCATACCTCTGATCGACCTTCACTCGTCTGATTCGCCTTGGATAGGAACACTCAGCGCCAATATTGGCCTGTAGGCAGTTGGCACAGGGAGTACCGCCAGAGCATTTCACTTTGCGGGCGTGACATTTTCGGCAACTGAAAGAGTTAGTAGAGATCCATTTCATTGGAAACCGGTACCTCGTCGTGGACATACGCAATGCGTGCGTTCTTCGGCGTTGCCCTTGAGGCTCCGAAAGAGCGCCGAAGTCGCTGGCCCTCAGGCTCTGGTGTTTCAGACATGGATATTATAACAGTGATGGATCACAATAAGGGTTAATTGATCGGATATTGCCAGGAGGATCCGAGACCTGAGATGATGAATCAAGTTGGAAGACGTGATGAGGATCTAAGCCGTACTCGGCAAGCTCGAAGAGAAGGCCGAGCAGTGGAGGATGACTAAGGTAGAAGAATCGGCTCTAATGTGGCACCACCGAGGTACAAGCCGGCAGCGAAGTGGGAGAACCGAGCGTGGTTAGAGCGGGAATGCTCTTTTGCGAGGAACCCTTGATTGGTCAAAGTGAGTCAAGAGCAAAGACGTAACCGTGTGAAGCCAACATCTCTTGCAACAAAAAGGCACTGTCGTGATGGTGTTGATCACAGGCGGCGCTGGAACATGAGATTTCAGCGCAAAATGCAAAAAGAAATGATGAGACTGGGACTCGAACCCAGGAGGATTGCTCCACCAGGAATTGTAGGTTGTTAAGGTTGACCTTAACCTGGCGCCATAACCAACTCGGCCATCTCACCAACCTTATTGGATGCTAGGCTAACGATCTACGAGACTCTATATAGTAGCACAGCCAGTGACGACGTGGCCGGCGATGGACATCACCTTAGCATGTTAAGCTCAAGCAGGTACAGATACACTTGCTCTTATCAGCTCTCTAATATGAGTCCCAGGAAGAAGAGTTTCAATCGGAGTCGAGCTCTCCGAGGCGGTTCTTGGTGGCATTGGGCAACCCACCATCCTTGAACGTTGGGCCGTTCTAGCGGCTTGCACCTGGCCACCATTGCGTGTGGGCTTCAAAGAGAGTAATAATGCAATAGAATCAGTGATATGGAGGGATTACCAAGTTCGTCACTCCCTTTCTCACATAGATAGAGTGTCTTGAGTACGCCTAGTAAGTACCGGCACTGTTGAGAGTGCGGTATCTATTCTGAAAGTCGCTTTGCGGAACATAATAGACCGCTATGCCATAGGCAAAAGTAGAAGATACCTTCTGCTAGTTGCAGAGGCATTTGGGCCTTATGATGTTGCTCAATACGCTTCTTTTGCAATTCCTGATGCATCCTACCCAGAGTAGCCAGTGATACAACTCCAGATATGACCCTCCCTCTTCCCTTCCGTCTGCCCAAAGGAATACAATCATGACAATTGCTCTACGTAGTTCGCCTCCACAGCACCAAAGAAACTCGTCCCTGTACTTCACCACATAATCAAACGTCGCGTTTCCCAGCAGCACCATCAGGTCCAGTGTCATGTCTCGCCACTTTCCCGGTACGGCCTCACTCCTGTAGCTTCTTTCAAGCCAGATCTTGGACTCTTCGACTGAACAGTTAACAGTGCAGAGCCGCCTGACGTCTGCATATGCGAGATCAGTTGGGCTCACGCTGGTGGTAGGGGACTCACTGTCGTTCATACGAGACGGTGGGTCGTTATCTTGGCAGTAGTACAGTGACCGCTCAAGAGGGGACACTTGTATAAAAAACATGGCAGGTTCTTGGGTTTGAGAGATGGGTCGATTTTCTGACTGATTCCTCTTGGGAATAGCCATTTTAAACATAATTGACACTGATTGCCATGTTTCCAAGCTATCTCAAAGTGCATAGACCGAAAAGCAGCCCACCGGTTCCATGCGAGTTTCTGCAGACTATTCGATCAAAGATAGCCTTGCTACTTTTCCCTGAGATTGGTGCCGCACCGCTTAATAGACCCCTCGGACGAAACCAGCCCAGCCTACCTAGACTAAAACTTCATCTCCAGTAACATGACTGGTCCCCGTTTGACTGACTCCCAAGATGCCGGCCTCGTATAAGTGCTGAACAAGGGAGAATAACATGCCATCACAACCTTTTGCGGCCATCATGTCCACGGTAACAGGCAAGTATTCTGTGTGAGAAGTAATTGAAGAATGGTAAGCCACCTGTCCAATTGGCACAACCATATCAGGTGTCTCGCTCATGACTGATATCCGACTTGTCGAAAAGGCTTTTGGGACTTGCGGGCCCGTCCGGTAAGTGTCTCTGTAAACTGGCACAGGCGTTCTCGGAACATAGACGAGCAGGTTGTGAGAACATGATTTCGCGTCATGAGATAATATTCTGGTGTTGAACCATTCCATGAATTGAGTCTTGTTTGCGATGCCCTGCTCAACGGTCGCCGTTGAGTTGTCGCCAAATGCCCAACGGTTCAGGGGCGCAGGGTTGACATGGGGCCGCCTTCCATCATGAGCAGCTCCATAATCTCTAAAGAAGGGATCTCGCACAAGTCTTGCTTGCTCCTTTGCCGATACAATCTCGTATGTGTTATTGAGCAAGGTCGATACAGAGGGGGCGCTAGGGTTCGTGCTATTCCAGCGCTCTTCAAGGTTAAAAGGAGTAGCCTTGGCCGAGAGAAAGTCGGTCAGGTTAGCCAGAAACTGAGTGAGGATGATATTCAGCTCAGATTCGGCCTGGGTGGGAAAGCCAATCGTGAGGATATTTGAAGGGTAAGAATCATTTAAGCTGATGTTTGTGCCATATAACGCCTGGGCGGCTGTTTTCCAAAGAGCAGGATCACGAGAAAATAGGCCAGCCGTGTCAAAATGAGGTGAGAGGGGCATGGTATCACCCAGTGAAACCAGCCCATGGCCTAGATTGGTTAGCTTCGCCTTTCAGAGTACAAGGACGTGGCGTACTTGGCCTATTCCCATAGATCCCTTGAACTTGACTTGGTGACCTGATGCTACCTCCAGTATCAGATCCAAGGGCGATGTCCAACCATGGATAAGCAGCTATTTGATTCATCAGCGTCGACCATTGGCGTATTTTCCTGCTACACTTACCTACGCCGGCAGCCGGGCCAGCAGAAGAGGATGATGGATCTTGGTACCCGTCCCCTCGAGGGTTGAATGGCGCATGGTAATCCACCCAATCAGCAGTAGCCGACTCTCCGTTTGCGAACTGACTCGTCTTCATCTTTCCGACAATGACAGCGCCAGCGTCGAGCAGGTTCTGAACAGCAGGTGCCGTTCTATTCGCCGCTGGATAAAGATTATACCAAGCCCTGTTGCCATTCGAGGTCTTGAGCCCTTGGACGTTGAAAATGTCTTTGATCCCGAGTCTAACACCAGCCAGCGGCTTTTTGGTAGTTCTTGTATAGTAGAGTCTCGAAGGGACGGCAACTGCAAGGGAATGACCAGGTAGGTTGGCTGGAAGAACCGAATACGAGCCATCTTGATTCAAGATTGAGGATTCACTAAATGCCCCTTGGACATCGGCGTACAGCCTGTAGGCTTGGTAGATGCGTCCAGTAGTAGAGACGAAGTACGGGCCATCGGGGAGAGGATTGTTATCTTGAGCTTGGGAAACCCAAAAAGCGGTAGAATTACCCAGCACCGTAACATCACCTCTCTCATTGCGAGCATTCCTTCTCTGCACATAGAAGCCTGCATAGAATCAGTGCTTTTCCCAAATGCAGTACCTCAAGCAATGAGACTCACCTTTGGCAAAACCAGGTTGATAGACATCATCCGCCCTCGAAAACGTCGCTGTGATTTTATTGACATCATCAAGACTCAATGACTGTTCGTCCGTGTTGAGAACAGTAATTGGAAGCAGTCCAATGTTTTCATCAACCTCAAACACGGCTCTCGGAACTTTTCCGACTGCATGAGGCGGTACGTAGTAAGCGATGCCATTGAGCTGCAGGGTCGTTCCGGTGGTTGAAAACGAATATGCGGAGGCCGCAAAAGGCCTCAAGAGAGCCGCCGCCACAATATACCACCTGCAATGCATTGGCTACAGCTCTGAAACAGCATCAAAGACTCTTCTTGCAAGAGTTGGCTTGGGTGTCTCTTCAAGAGCAGAGGCGGGGGGACAATTTGTGAAGGTAACGAGTTAAATCAGGAGCTCGCGATAAGTGCTTGAGTAAAAATATACCCTAAATCGTCGCTTCTGTGCCATTATCCAGGCTATTTCAACCTTCACTTCATCTTACCGCTGTAGAGAACATCAATGGCAAATGCCGATGTCGCCTTTGTAAGAACCCTGATGGAAAGCCCCATAATCACACAGGACAACAGGGATCCTTGAGAACGAGAGTCTGCAGATCTTTAAAGTGCGGGAACCTACATCATTTCTCTCATTCGACGAGCCAAAAACCCGAGGGAATCGACAGGAGGATATGAATAATCCCTGAGCGGGAACGCCCCATAGCGGCTTCGATGCCAAGCCATCCGGGTTACCGGCATCATATACAGTTACATTTAACCATATTCAACTTTCTTTACGTTCCACTAAGACGTCCGGCGGCATGACTTCAACGCTGATCTTCATGGGTTATGAATATCCCTCATGGGAAAACGGGAAACGCCAAGCCATCAAGGTTGAGTTGAGGCTCCGCAAGAGTAATCACCACGTCCATGACTGAGACAGCGTGGGATGTCGTAGCATTGACTCTGATCAAACTTCAGATAGAGATATTCATATAAAAGCCGCTGTATTCTCTCTAGGATGTTGCTCTTCAGCTCACAAGCCTAGATCAGCATCCTCAGCCCCCTTTCTCCAATCCTTTGCTGCCTCACACCCAAATCATGGTTAGGCTATCAACCCGTTTGTGGGAGACCTCCTTAATTCTCCTAGCAACACTGTCCTTCCCTGAGTATGGCCAAACGGTGCCGCATGCGCCCCAACATGGAACAGAAACATGTTCAAGGAAGCCGCTGATGGAGGACTTTGACTCCATCGGGGCTTGGTTTGATGGCGTCGCAGCAGTCAACTGCACGTCAGCCGCCAAGAACTCAAACGTTTCTGTCGCCATTGTGGGCGGGGGTATCTCTGGTCTCACCACTGCCTTGATGCTGGACAGCATCGGTTTCCATAACTGGGAGATCATCGAGGCCAGTGAGAGAATCGGCGGACGGTTCAGAACCAAGTTCGTCGGCGGAACTCAGGAGTTCGCAGAGATGGGACCCATGAGACTTCCTCATACTGTCACTTACAAAAGCGACAATTCGACAGAAGAGTACACCGAACACGGCCTGACTTATCAGTTGGCTCACACACTCAACAACATGAATGGAAACGACTCGAAGTGGAAGGTCGACTTCATCCCGTGGATTCAGCATCACCCAAACGAACTGATTGCCTGGGGTACGGGGAGGCATCCAGATAGCAGTGTCCCAACCCGAGCAGACATCTCCGCCGATCCTAGTCTTAGAAAGCCTCCATCGTTGACCTCTGCCGAGTACAACGAGACCAAAGCCCGCATGAACAAGATTCTAAAGAACGAAACCATGCTTCGGGAGATTCAGCGAGATGTCTGGCGCTCGCACAAGCGTGTCATGGACATGGGCCTCGATGACTGGAGTCAACAGTGCATGATGAGGGAGGTCTTTCATGCAACTGAGAATGTGACCGATGCCATCTGGACTGCTTCCGACTATGACGTCTTCTGGGATGAAATGGTTCATAACTCGAATCTTGGACTTGATGGAACCCGAGACTCGCTGGGAGAAACCGAGTGGAAGTGTGTGGATGGTGGCTTCAACAGACTGTCGGATGCCTTTTTACCCCATGTTTCTGCCAGACTGGTCCTAAACCGGAAGATCAGAAAAGTCGAAACTGTGGAAGACACGGACGGCCGCACTCGCACTCGACTATCGTGGTACCCCAGTGTCAGCAACCGGACCTTTGAGTCCAAGGACTACGACTACACCATCATGGCTGTTCCTTTCACCATGACGCGGTTCATGGAACTACCAAGCTTCTCCTCGGTCCTCGGCCGTGCCATCAGCGAAGCAGGCCTCAGGTTCAAGTCTGCCTGCAAGGTGTCCCTGCTCTTCTCGGAACGCTTCTGGGAAAAGGGTGAGAAGCCGATATTTGGTGGCTACTCGATGCCAACCAGCAGACCAATCGGGGCTCTCTACTACCCAGTATACGGATTGAACGAGTCGCGACCGGGCCTCATTACACACTATCGTGGAGGCGACTGGAGTGATCGCTATGTCAGCTTTTCTGATGAAGAGCATGCGCAGCTGGTGTTGGATTCCATCGTGAGCCTACATGGAGAGCAAGCTAGAGAGCTCTACACAGGAGACTACGAGCGTCTCTGCTGGCTACAGGATGAACACACCGCCACGTCTTGGTGTCGGCCAGATGTTGAACAGCACAAGCTATACATCCCAGCTTATCATCGCACCGAGCACAACACCATCTTCATCGGCGAACACACGGCACCGACGCAAGCCTGGATCAGCTCGGCCATTCACTCATCCGCTAGAGGAACTATCCAGCTTCTTTTAGAGCTTGGTATGATTGATGAGGCAAAGAAGGTGAACGCGGAATGGATGGGGAGGTGGATCGAGCATCAGTAAATATACGTTGGTAGTCTAACGCACCTCTTGTCTCTTCAGGTACAGACAACTCCCTCAGTGATGAAATGTTGGGGCGGAGAAAATAGAAGGTATCTTGTAGATCCACAGCATCATCACTCATCATGTAAGAACAGTCTCATCCACGCAACAGCTGCATTCTTTCCTCTTTCCATAGCCGCTCTTTCGCCCTCTCTCTCCTTACCTCCTCTTACCAAACAGCCATGGGCATGCCCAGGGAAATGCTGGTAGTCAAATGGTAACCCAGCAGCCTGCAGTTTCTGAAACGTGTGAAGCTTCAGTTCCGTCGTGTACACGGGGTCAAACTCGGGGGCAAGCATCTGCACTGGGACATTGACTCCGTCGATATCTTCCGCCTTCAGCAAAGACGGGTGCGCAGATGTTACGCAGTCCACAAGCGGCGGGACATGCTCCCTAGCCCCGAGTCGAAACACAGCCCAGCCGCCGTAGCAGAAGCCAATTGCGCCCACCTTATCGTACTTCTCACGAAGAGCTCTTGTGAAGGCGAAAATATGTGGCTCACGGATTTCTCGCGAGTTTCGTGCGAGAAACTCCGGCATATCCATTTCACCCCATTTCTCTGCCGTAAGAAGATCAAGAGGGAGAGAATCGCCCTGGAAAAAATCGGGGACGTAGGCTGTCACGTCGGCTTCTTTGGCGTAGTGATCGGCCAAGAGACGGATATTTGGCAACGTCCAACCAAAAAGATCGTGAATGATGAGGACTGCAGCCTTGGTGTTTTCGCCCGTCACATAACAATCCAAATCCGCAAGCTGTTCAGTTCGGCCAGTGGGTTCTCCATCCCACTTGAAACCTTTGGTGCAACAGGAGCTGATTGACATGTTGGAATGATGGCGAAGATGGTGAACCAGTGTCAAACTCGAAGCGAGCTTAACGGCTATGTACTATCGAGGCTCCAGGGTATCTGAGGGGTAGCGACAGTTGCATCAGTCACGTCGGATAATGGCTCGATGATTAAACGACCCAGTCAAATGCCGTGCTCGTTCTTGGATAGCGATCCTTCGGTGCACCATGTCACTGTCTCGGGACCGAAGATGTCGTTGCCTAGCTGCCAAATACGATGAGCTTTAGTTCATTGGTGGCAGGATTTCAGGGGAAAGTGTCTTGGCGAGACGTTGAATGGGCGCCGCACGCTCCGGACATCTCCCCAAGGCGCGTATCACTCCTCCCTCAGTGGTGTGAATGTCTTCATCTCCGCCCCTACAGACCGACCTACCCTACGGCTGAAGACATCCTCTTTCCGCTCAGGCAATGGCCGAAAAGCCAGGGTGGAGCTACTCAAAAAATGGCCGGGTTTTTTTTCTCTGTTGTGAACCTTAAAAAGAAGGTTACTTCCAGTTGACGAGCCTCTATCATAAACTCTTCATCGCGATAAAACTGATTTCGTCGTGAGCGTCAATTGGGGCCATCGGAGCTTGTCTTAATGCCGGCCTCCATATCCGATCCCTGTCCAGGCTGGTGGCCGCCAAGTGAAGCCCGCCAAGGAATCCTTGCATTGTGACAGCTGGGATGCCAAGAGTCATTTCACCACCATGTTATAGGTACGGTATTATTTGCTTCTTTGTACGGGAGGATTCGTTGTCCACGCGTTCCTGAATCCAAGCCGCTGTCCCTGCGCTAATAAGCGTCCAGTCCCGGGTCAGGAGACGCCACCACTGCAATCCTCAACACCAATTCCAAGGAAAGGAAACATTTCGAGGTATTGTGAGGAAGAAATATTTAATAAATAATATGTAAAAGGTATCAAAAGTATCGCTTTGTCAAATCAGCGCTGTCGTGTAATCTCACCATCCACCTCTTTAATCCGCCCTCTCTGCGTACGCATACCAGTCGTCCTTGAATCCCCATTCGCTTCCCTTGGTCTTGGTGCCGTTCTTGAGCCAGCAGTTGACACCCCAATTACCCAGCTCCTCCGACATCCTCTTGCCAAAGACCACGCTCCTGCATTTAACTCCAGATCCTTCGTTCTCGTCCTTATCGATCATGGCGCTGCAGGCGTTCAGGCAGTCTTCTAGAGTGTACGCGATGAGCGGGGAGACGTCCGAGATGACGCCGCCCTCCTCTGCTTCTCCGCCCGCGGGTGCGTTCACACCGCACCACCACTTGAAGTCGTATCCCTTGCTTGACTTGAATGAAGTTGCCGTGCTCTTGTCCTTGGGACAGTCCAATTCGAGAAGTTGGACCTCGTCGGCTGGTCTGGGAACGTAGGGGGCGGTATCATTTTCGGCGGAAGTCGTGGTTGATTCGGGAGCTGAGCATTCTGTTGGTGTACTTGTCTCTACAGGAGCAGCAGAGACAGCAGTGGCAGCAGGGCAGTCGTTGTCGCTGAGGTCAATGTCAGTACACGCTCATGTAATAAATGAACGAAGAAATAATACTCACGATTTAGCATTCGCCAGAGCTGCACCAAGTCCACCACCTACACCAGCTCCCACGACAATGGCAGTAAGGAGGGCGACGAGAGCAGCAAAAGTCCACACACCGAGACCAAAGGGGACATGTTGAGCCTTTTGGCCTGAAGGCGGTTGGTATCCAGGAGGGAGATAGTAGGGATTGCCATCTGGTCCATATTGAGCCACCTCTGGGGCCTTGGCCGCCTGCTGGGCGTGTGTGTCGACCTGAAGGCCCTCGCTGTCTTGAGGCTGATGCATTTTCGTCTCGTTTGGTCCCGTACAGTAGAAGATCACCAACAACAGAACGAGAGAAATCTCAAGATGCCCACCGCCGAGCCATAGGGCGACTTTTGAGAAAACAGGGAAGTGGGCGAGCAACAAGGTCTGAGTGTGCTTGGGGCGAAGCCATCGTAGCTTTGGATCCACAAACAAGGCTAGTATTGCCCTGTCCTTGTTTCATACAGGCATTAAGGACACTGATCGGTAAGCTGACTGCATATTTCCGCAAATCATGGACCAGTTGAACCCGCGTGGTTGCAATCGATGTGAACCCCCTGCTGGGCAGAGGGCGCTTCTTCGCGCTTGTGGTTGGCGATGGTTGGCCAGCCTTAACAGGCGTGGGAACCACAGCTCGAGGGATCCGCTAGCTAAAGACAGGGAGCCACTTGGGAGCCCTCGGCGAGGTTGCCCGAAACAGTCGGCTACGAAGATGCTGCCAATTTGCCCCGTATTCTCTGGACAGGGCCTCATTAACGCGCATTTAAGGCTTCATTGCCCATTCAAACAGCACGGACTTCGAACCGACAAGTTACTACTCTTGTTGGAAGTGTATTCGAGTGAAAGAGGAGGAACAGAATCACTAATCTTGTAATTAGGAAGGCGTCTGAGGCCTCGCTTGTGAGTCTCTTACGCAGACAGTTTCCGCTTCTTCACAGGTTTGAGAAGCCAAGCTAACACGCTTCCGTCTTCGCGAAGGAGCCGCTGCCTTGCGCGTTGCGACGTTGGAGCAACACGAACTCAAAGTTTAATTAGCAGAGCTGCCGCCCAATCCTTAGTCTCGTCTACAGGTAGTTAAGCCACACTGGTGGGGGTTTCTGGGTAGTCCAAACTGGAAATCTGGACCATCGCGCCATGAAGAGGCAGTGCAGTGAAGCAGTGGAGGTCACCTGTCACTAACAACCATAACAAAACTGTGCCTTTCTGGCATTTCGTAGTGTGCTACGCGATGGATTCGAGTTCCGGTAGGAGCCGCGATCATCTCGGACCTCTCGATACTACTAGACGAGCTGTGCGGTGTGTTTGTACATGTCAACGGGCATTTGTAGACCTTGGAAGATCCAAGCCTCGTCCAGAAATGGACAAACAAGACGCTTCCCCAACAGATTGGGTCGTCTGGGAGTGAAGCCTCACCAAGTCCCTCCTCTAAGGCTGAAATTAAGGGACTCGCCAAGGCGGGTAGACCCACCGCCACAAGAGGACTCCCAACGGTCGAGTCGGACACTGAGTCCGAGACTGCCGTAAGTAAGCTTGTGTAAGCAGGATGAAAGAATTCGCGTCAGATCAAGTAACACAGCTCGATGACTGGCTGAAGACGATCACGGTCTTGATGGTTGCGGAGGGTTATCTCAGCCTGGATTGGACCGTTAAGGAAGGTCACTTGTGGAGGTAAGGCAGCTGCCGAGGGCTGACATGTCTGCAAGATCTTGGTATAAAATGCGCCTCTCTCCGAGTATGACATGCCGATAGAAATCGGTCATGTTTAACTGCCTGAAAATCCAGCGCTATGAACCCTCGTAGTATTGAGGCCGCCAGAATCGGAGGACTGAGCCGGAGTCAAGAGTCCGGGGCATCACGTGAGCGCGCACTAACAATTTCCCCTCTGCCTTAGAGCCCCACAGAAGCTCCCTCGGCCTCTCCATGCCACATACCTCAACCACCACTCGACAGTATCGCGATACTCACCCCGCGCCGCCTCGAACATGCCGAAACTGGCCCATTGAACTGACTCCAATGGCGTCGCAACCAGCTCGACGATACTGCAACCATGTATAACCGCGAGTCCAAGATTATGCGCAAGCTGCTCGGCAAAGCCGCTCCCGAAACTCCAGCCGGCGACCCGAGCAACCTCTCCATCACCAGCGCGCCCGCGTCCACCATCGGGGCAGCGTTCCGCCCAACCAAGTCGCAAGATGCCGAGTATAAAGCAGGCGTGCCGATCCTTAGCCTTGATGTTTCCCCCGACCGACGAGCAGCCGTTCTCGCTGGCGCGCACATTCTCAAGACAGTGGTGCTGGACGATCCTCACAACTTCAACTTCAACTTTCGCGAAGGCGTGGACCTGAGGGCTGTTATAACCGCACAACCTAATACTTCAAAGGGTAGTCAGGTGGCAGATCAACTCAGCATACGGGATGTGAAATGGCACGGCGGGTCGACCATCTTCACGGCTTGCGCCAACGGCAAGATCTTTGCATACGATGTCGCAAGAGTAGGATCTGGCGCGGCTGAGCCCTTGGAATATATACAGATGCAGGAAGATTCTCGACAAGTCACTACTCTGGATGTTAACCCGCACCTCAAAAGCTGGCTTCTATCAGGCAGCCAGGACGGAATAGCGCGCGTTTTCGACACATCGACTGCCGTCCCAGGCCGCTCCGGCGGTGTTACCTTTCGCCAGCGCTTTGCGCCTCTAAAGTGTATCGATCCGGTCCGACAAGTCAAATGGTCGCCCAAGGTTGGACATGAGATGGCATGTTGTACGGAAGGCGGAGTGGTTTTGAAGTGGGATGTGCGACAACCAGCGAGGCCCCTACTGAGGATTAACGCCCACGAGAAAGCATGCGCCTCTATTGCATGGCATCCTGACGGAAATCATCTCGTCAGCGGAGGCGCAGACACGAAACTTCATGCGTGGGACCTGGGGAATACGGCCGACAAACGGCAGAAGCCAAAGTGGTCGGTTACAACACCTGCACCCATCTTCTCGATCGCCTGGCGGCCTGGCCTGTGGTCAGCCACAGCTCAGAGCAAGCGTGTTGCACAGGTCGCAGTTTCATATGATGACACTAGTTCTCGACGCTATGGAACATCGGCAGTGCACATCTGGGATCTAGCTCGGCCAACGATGCCGTATAAGGAGATTGAGAGGTTCGATACCTCCCCGGCGGCCTTGCTCTGGCAAGACCAAGACATGTTATGGACCGTGGGCTCGGATGGGCTCTTTACCCAATGCGATGTCGCCTTTGCTCCCAAGGTGATTGACCGACAGTCAACCTCGTCGATGGCGTTTTCACCCAGGGGCGACGTGATGATGTTTCTCGATGAGCGATCACATTCGCAGCGACCACGACCTCCCGTCACGCATCATGCCGAGATCGTACCTCGAGGGACTTATGGCTCTAGCCCCAATGCCCCTATGTTGAGCATCA